CTGCAAATCAGACTATTTACTAAAAGTATTGCAATCCCTAAAGTCGATTCGACAATTAATGGTTGTTATTTTCCCACAGAAAGACATTTTCAAGCCCTATCGTTTTGATGAAAATTCTAAATTAAGGTACTGGTGGCCATCTTGGACGCCATTATGAAAATTATCACTTTCCAGAGGTCCGATTTTCTTAGATTTTTGCACATGATTCCTGACGTCAAACACTACCGGAAACCGTTGAAAAACCTTAGGTTGCAATTTTTTGGGACAAACCCTAGACTGTATATGTTCGAATATTGTCTGTTGTACTCTATTTTTAAATACTACCATTGGCAAGCATTTGGCAAACCTTTTAAGACTCATTATTGAAAAGTGTATCATTGTGATTTTATTAAACTAAACCCCTTTTAATCTCAATGAAAACCTAGAAGCAGGACTCAACATCTCGTTACTTCATGGCAATGCACCGGGCGAAGGTTTCGTTCTCAAAGACGATGGTTTAAGCAGGGGGCTTCTATGCGGTGAGCCTTGGAATCTCCAGAGCGCTGAGGTGGCTTGTCGTATGCTCGGCTTCATTGGGATTGAATCATTCACTCAACGTGTTGCGTCCTCCATCCCTTTTGATCCTATTTCCGTGCAAGTCCTTCGTGATAGTTATATGTGCCTCAATGGAAGGGAGCAAACACTTTCCGAATGCATATCGACCACGTCCCCTGTTAAGTGCTCGTTAGTTGTTTGGGTCTTGTGTACAAACAATACTGGTGAGTATAAACATGAAAGTGAGAAGACGAAAGTCGTCGATCAAATCAAAACAATTTAGATCAACTAAAGGCCATAGTTTTTTAAACCTCCAGGAACGGAAAGCGCCGCTAGCCTTGTATTAGACTTTTTCCACTCGAACGCTCGTTCGGTTTCTTAGCACGATAATCGTTTTGTATGTATTTAAATGTTGTTAGTTTCGATTTTTTTCCCCTCTAAATTTCAACTCTTTTTTTTAGCTAATCCCACATCATAATTATATCTACGGTGCTTGAATCCGATAAGGCCAAGTAATATTCCATTTTAAATGAAATATTATAATTGCATCCAATTACCCCCTGCCCCCCTCCAGCAAAGCATATGATAATATTTATTAAAAACAAACCTGGCTTACCTTTATTTTATACGTCAATTCACTAAGCCCTAATCACTATTGCTACAATTTTAAATATTTAGCGTTAGTAAGATATGGAATTCTTCTTGCTTACTTGCAATGTGCCTTTATATAATCAATATTTATAATCAAACCATAATCATATAATAATCAAACTAAGAGACAATTATAATAAAGTGAATATAGAAGCAGTGACATGACCTTAAGAGGCAAAAATATGTTACACTATTCTGTCGTCAACGGGGTTTCTTTTATTTTGTGTTGAGTTTTAAAAAAAATTATTCGTCGCAGAACAATATCTTCTCTAAAATACAAACATAATGTACAAATAATAGTGATCAACACGTACTTCAACAAATGTAAGTTTAAGTTTCAGTCCATTAGGGAAATTACCTGTCTTGCCACCTTCAAAAGATCCCTCAAAACTCACCTTTTCCCCAATGATCTATGTGATATACTTTCTGTACTGTACATACTTTCTGTACTGTACATTTTTGTCCTCTTTTCATATATTTGTATTTGTAAGCGCTATGGTACTTATTGTTTTTAGCGCTCCTAAATATTCGATGTTATTATTATTATTATTAGTGTTATAGGATACAGGATATACAGGATATCCAGTTCGTGGGCTATTTCATGAGTAGAAACAGCCATTAATTTGCAATCATGTTATTGCACGGTAACGCCACGTTTCCGTTTTTGCTTGTTCAATATTCTTCCGTCATTTTCTTTTTTCTTCTTTTTCTACCGGACTTTTAATTGAGCATTGTTTTGGGCCACTTCCCGATTTTCAATTTTCATCAAATTTCCTGCGCTTATACAGTGCGTCCCAGAAAAACGAAACCGAGAATTATAGACGTTTGATCATTACTTAATCACAATTATAATTAATAATTGACACATATTTGGAAAGCTGAGATCCTCTTCTTTCATCTGATGTAACTCATATGATGCATATTTCACGCATGAGTGATTAAGATGAATTTGAAGAGAGGAAACCAAAAATTCATTTGGCGGATGGTATCTGAATTTCAAGGAGAAAATCCCATTTCCAGAAAATTGAGTTTCTGCCCTTTCATATGACACCTCAATCACGAAAAATGAGCTAGGAATAACAAAGTTCTTTATGTTTAAAGTAGTGCTTGCATATCCATAATTTTATCAAACGAATTCATTTTCACTGGCTGTCTGCCTTATACCCCCCTTCACATACACGGATTTTCCTTACGAGTCCTTACGGATCGCCAACTCGTAGTAAATCGCAATCATCCGTAAATAACTCGCTGGTATCCGTAAATAACTCGTCACGACTCGCAACAACTCAAAGACACTCTTAAGGATCCGTGAAAGGAGAGGCAGATTTTTTGACTTGTCAAAAATCTTCTTACGATTGTCCACGGATTGATTTGTCCGTAAATAGCTCGTAAATAGCTCGTAACAATCCGTTACCACCCGTAAACCGCTCGCAACAAAACGGCACCATCCGTAAACTGCTCGCAAGAATCCGTAAATGACTCGTAACAGATTTTTGTAACGATTCGTTATGGTTAGTTTACGATTTGTTTACGGATTATTTACGGATTATTGCGAGCAGTTTAAGGATGGTTACGTGTGCTTACGTGGTGTTTACGATTTATTTCGGGTCATTTTACGATGGCTTTACGGATTGATACGGGTTATAACGAACATTTTAAGTGTAGTTACGAATTTTTTTACGAACAGATACGTATAATTTACGCATGCTTATGAACTGCTTACGATTTTGGAAAAGGTATAAAAGCTGCAAATTCGAACACTTCATTTTCAGTTATTATTTTTTGGCTAAAAATTGCAAGGACTCGTAATAACTTGTAGCTTACTCGTAACTATTCGTAACAACATGTAAACAGGTCGTAACTAACACGTTAGTTGCTCGTAGTTATCCGTGACAAATCGTAACGAATCATGGACTGTTGCCGTAAATACATCGTAATAACTCGTAATGATCCGTAATAAACCGCAAACAGCTCGTTATAACTCTTAAACCGGTCGTAAAAGTGGCCAAATCGTAAGGATCCGTGAAAGCTCCGTGAATTTGTGCGATCCGTAAGGACTAGTAAGAAAAATCCGTGTATGTGAAGGGGGTATTAAGCAACACACGGAATTAAGGAAAGACTTAAATCCGTTTCGTTGACAATCGGCCGTAGACGAAAGACTTTATGCATGGCTGTTTGTCAACGAAGCGGAGTTAAGTCTTTTGACAATTTTGTTTTTGCTACGGCAGGCAGCCAGTGAAAACGAATTTGTCGTTTGATAAAATTACGGAAATGCAAGCACTACTTTAAACATACAGAACTTTGTCATTCCTTGCTCATTTTTCGTGATTGAGGTGTCATATGAAAGGGAAGAAACTCAACCGACTAGAAATGTGATTTTCTCTTTGAAATTCAGATATCGTCCGCCAAATGAATTTTTGGTTTCCTCTCTTCAAATTCATCTTAATCACTCATGCATGAAATATGCATTATATGAGTTACATCAGATGAAAGAGGAGGATCTCAGCTTTCCAAATATGTGTCATTTATTAATTACAAATGTGACTAAGTTATGATAAAACATCGATAGTTCTCGGTTTCGTTTTTCCGGGACGCACTGTAGATATGCATGTCAAGTGGTCCACTAAGGTCTTCCTTCTCTAATATCACTTAAGGGTGACATGCTAGGCGAAATTTTCTTTCCTGATTTAATCTTCTTGGTAAAATTAAACATTGCCTTTATATCCTAAACGTTTGGCAGTCCCGATCTTTATCTTGGTCATTGTCTTATCAAATTGAATATCGACCTAACTCATTTAGATACCGTTTCAAATCCAATCTTTTTAAAACTTGGCATGCATTTTTTTTGCCCCTTTTGGGTCTATAATTTTTGTTTGCATATCCTACATGATTAACATTTCTTTTTATGTTAGCCCGTAGCCCTAACAATTTTTCTCCATTTACAATCAGACATAATGTTATGAATAGTGACCTATTTATGCTAAATTTCTTTCACCTTATAACCTTTGCCTTGAAACTAAATGCCGCGATAGCGCGCGTGCAGGCGCGTACACAGGGGGGGGGGGGGGTTGGGGGGTTAACCCCCCTTTGGTATTTTCTGTGTGTAACCCCCCCCCCTTTAATTTTTTTTTTGATTTTTTTTTTTTATAAAAAAAAAAAAAAATTATTCCCATGGCTGACCTAAATAAGGTGACCTTACCCCCCCCAAAAAAAAAGTGTCCTCTTACCCCCCCCCCCCCCGCTTATCTCAGCGGTCGGCTGAGTCGTTTTTTGGGACCCCCCCCCCCCCCCCCAAAAAAAAAAAAAAAAAAATAAATAAATAAAATAAAAAAGCGACCTCTTACCCCCCCCCCCCCCCCCCCCCCCCCCCCCCCCCCGCTTATTCAGCGGCTGGCTGAGTCGATGCGAAATTTTCGGCCCGATTTATAAATGTTAAACCCCCCCCCCCCCCCCCCCCCCCCTTAAAAAATCCTGCGTACGCGCCTGCGCGCGTATATCGTCGCACGATCACAGGTCGAAGAGTATAAAATGGGAATGGAGAGGAGAGAGGAGAAGAGGGGGGGGGGGGAAGAAGATTAAAGGCATCTGCTTAGTCTACAAATGTCTTTGAATTGTTATTTTGGGAAACTAGTTTAAACGAAAATATTTTCTTTTTCTTTTTTTCCTTCTCGAAAATAATTCTTTTATTTAGATTGAAAGCTAGAATATGTTAACACGAGATCCCAGCAGCACTATACAAGGGTACTGCAGATGGGAATCCTTTTTTAAAATATTTCTCATGCATAGATGTTTTCAATCTATCTATTCCAGTACGGTTCATTGACAACGATATTTTGATGCGTCAACAAGGACGCGTAGAGCTCTACACTGAGACTACAGGTTGGGGTTCACTATGTGGCAATAGTAGTGACATACGAGATGGACAGGTGTTGTGCGGGATGCTGGACTATCCAGGTTTGGATTCAATACAGAATATGAACTATAACGAAAATTGGCTTCCAATTACCAATGTTGGTCTGAACTGCACTGGCACTGAGAATAGCATTGATCACTGCATATACAATACAAGCGATAGCACCACTTGCGACAAAGTGACGCGCATCGACTGTGAAGATGCAGGTATGTACGCTAACAGTAGGTGTAACATCACGGTACGGTTTCAGAATTTGTTTAATGACCCTCTGTTTTGCAGAAGACGAAGAGAGTTTTGTAAATCAGTCAGGTATGTTTTAAGGAAAGCCATTTTGATCATGTGCAGGGCCGTAGCCAGAGTTTGATGTTTTTTGTTTTTTGTTTTTTTTTGGAGGGGGGGGGGGCACATACATGTAATCGATCGACGTCCTGGGGAGGGGTCTAACAAAGTTCAACCGATCTTGGAAAAAAAATTGAGGGGCATGTGCCCCCCGTGTCCCCCCCCCCCCTCCTACGGGCCTGATCATGTGATCTTCTTCAAAGCACTCCTATAATTTGTATTTGTACATGTATTATTAATAATGAATAAACTCAAGCTCACGATATACCGACTACCAACAGTATCCCCTATTATCAAGATAGTCATGGCACTAAAACTAGAAAGAGTTCTTAAGTTCCAGAACGTAGTGAGACTAGTTTGGTGTGATGGGGGCTTACAGGCCATTGACTTCTCTTCCATTAACACCTTTACAATTTTATTACTCAGGGGTGTGTGATGGAAGAGGTTTGCTGTATAGACCCTATTGATATGAATATAATTGGAATATTAGAAAGTCAGGTTTTAAAGAATAATACCTGTGATTCTTCCACAGTACGGCTCGAAGAAGGTCCTTGTGATTCAGAAGGTAGAGTCGAGGTTTATCAGCACGGCTCCTGGGGACCTGTTTGTGATGATAACTTCACGATAGCGGATGCAACCGTTGTGTGCCGAATGTTCGGATTGCAATTGGTGGAACTCTTAGACTGGGACGTCCCACCATCTGTAGTGTCTTCGAATAGCGCTACGTTGAAGAATCCCTGGTGTACCAGAAAGGATAGAGATATCCGATATTGCATTCACGAACCAAACGCAACTTGCAATAAATACGCAGCCGTCAAATGCAGCGGTGAGATATTATTCTCTGTAGGGGACCCTAAGTTGAAGAATCCCTGGTGTAGCGGGAATGAGAAAGATATCCGATATTGCATACAAGAACCAAATGCAACTTGCAATAAATACATCGCTGTAATATACATAATGGTTTACATAATTTGAAATCTAGGAATATCCTTCTTGGACAATCTTTATCTTTATTCATAACATAATATCCGCATTAATTCTAAAAAGAGTTTTCTGTATAGCAAATACTACTGTAACATTTTAATCATTTGCGTACATTCCTATAAATTGCTACTGTTAATGACCTCCAAGTCACCCAACATTCCGATGTCCCTTTTGCAGCCAACATCAAATTCGGTAGAACTTTGCAGGAGTTATGAATATGTCATGAATGTCCTATCTGTGAAATGTAAAGGTTAGCAGTGTCCTAATATTCAAATTATGCAAACAAATCGTTGACTTGCTAGAATTCACTGTAAGACACTATTGAGTGACTGACTGGCTTTTTTCTTTCTTCTATAACATATATAAAATGAGCTTTAAAGGGTACATGAGCATTTTTCTACATCAATAACCCACACTGTAAAAAATATCTGTATTTTTACAGGAAAAAAAAATACAGATTTGTAACGTTTTAACTAAATACAGCAATTCGGATGTATTTTCTACACATATCCCGTAAAAGTACTTCATTTTTATTGTGAGAATGATTTACATCAGAAATTTGTAATTTGAAGGCAAAATACAGGTACTAATACAGTTTGCCTGTAATTTTACAGATCTATCTCGTAAACGTATGGCGGTGTGACCAAAGTTCGCGCGTGACCAAAGTTCGCTTTCTCAAAAAATCGGTAAGATTTCGAAAATCTGAAATCACCAATGGAAAGAGGGTCATAAAATTACCCCAAAACGAAATTTTCTTTAGAATTGGGTGCGAAATTGTGAAAATATTGACAAAAGATCGGCAAATTTTGCAGTTATTTGCGTCCGTTCCGAAAAATTATCAACTTACCGATAAGGGTCTGGAAATCTTCATTTTGAGATCAGAAATCCTCAAAATTGTAAGTAAAGAGTGGTACTAACTGATTGTACGATATCTTGCCTTGCAAATTATGATATTTCCTTATTTTTGATGGAACACATTTTTTGATAAATCAACTGTAAACCACCGTGCGTGAAGTTAGGTCTCATTGTTTTTATGACTTTTTTAGATGCAGCGCGCACGCACGATCGGACATCGATTTTTTAGATCGCGATATCTCCGAAATCCTTTGACGGTAAATTTTTCTAGTTAAAACAATCTGTAGTAAAAAAAAACTTTGCCGTCCATTTGGTAATAATTGAAATAAATAAATTTGTGTAGAATATGAGAAATCATAGATCGAATATCACATTTTGTAATATGTTCTAAAATGTCCGCGAACTTTGGTCACCCCTTCATACTTCATTTTTATTGCGAAACTGACTTACATCAGAAATTTGTAATTTTAAGGCAAAATAGAGTACTAATACAGTTTGCCTGTAATTTTACAGATCTGTCCCGTAAAAATACTTCATTTTTATTGTGAGACTTACTTACATCAGAAATTTGTAATTTTAAGACAAAATAGGGTTACTAAAACAGTTTGCCTGTAATTTTAAGGCAAAATAGAGTTACTAATACAGTTTGCCTGTAATTTTACAGATGAAATTGTTTACCTAAATGTATTTTTACAGATGTCTGTATTCGTACAACGATTTCTTAAATTGAATGGATATGGTGCAGTTTTACTTCGATGTGATTTAATTTGAATGCAGTTACTAGATTCTTTAACAAAATTCTGTTTTTATAATACAAATACACAAAAAGGTACTTCCACACCAAAGCTGTAAACCAAATTAACAAACATATGTATTTATACAACATTTTTGTACTATGTTTTTACATTCATTCTGATGTAATTTTAATCAACATACAATTTGTAAAAGAAAATACATGAAATGTTTGTAGGAGAAAATAACAACTAATCTGTATTTTTACAACATAATTTATGGCGACTCTGCTGCCAGCAGATTTGCTGTAAAATTACAGAGATTTTATTTTACAGTGCACTTCTTGTAATGGCCAAAATTAAACTGATTAAATCTTTGCGCAACATAAAACGTACGACCATTCGGTACAATGGTCTGAATATCAGACTATTACTTACTGGCTCTCTAGCTCTTAAGTCGATTCGACAACTAATAGCCGTTATTTTCATACTTAAAGACATTTTCAAGCCCACCCCCCCCCTCTTTTTTTAGGGAAGTTCTAAATTAGTATATCTTTAAAATGCCAATGGAATTTAACCTTTTCATGTTGTGGGGCCTGCAAATGGGACATACTACCTTTAAGTCAATGTTCGTGGTCTGTCGCTTGATGGAAAACTTAATAGGCTGATATTTGCCCCCCCCCCTCCCTCCAAACAAAAAAAAAGGAATAATTTATTTTTCTAAACGCTTTGCCAACTGAAGTATTTTCATTAGTCTCGCATTTAGATATAATATGATGAAGAGGTTTAACCTCTTTATCTAATCCTAAATTGTTACTGTATCGGGTGTGGAACTGAAGGGTTTTAGATTGTTTTAATTGAAGTCAAATGTTTCATGTTTAGTATTTAATATTTCATGTATTTTTTCTCTCTTTACTATGCAGATCCCCTAAATGTATGTCTAGGTAAGTGTTTGGGATGTCAGTAATTAAGGATAAACTTGAATTCTGGTTTTTAAAAAATATAAAATCTCACAGAATCAAACGAAACTTACACTGAATATCTAAGAGTACAAATAAATGTCAGTTGCCAAACAATTTTGGTAGAAAATTTATACTGGCTGAGTAAAGGGCATAACAAAATAAGGAAATCAAGGTTAGTAGCCCTGACACCCTTTGTGTACTCCCATACATATTTCCGTATACAGTGCTTGTTACTTTACCAAGACTGGGTCAAATTTATTATGTTTTTGATGACTCCAGAACCTTGCAGTACACACCAATACTTATATGCTACATAATCAACTTTTTCTGATCCATTCCACACCGTTTCTTTCACAATGCAACCGCATGACCAGAACTCAAATTCATCTTTAACTGTTCAGGAGTTAGATGTCAGCAATCCTCAGCTCCCTTTTGGCCCTTTCATTATTTTAGTCAATATTAAACAAATGAGAGCTGAAAAGTAATCTACCCCTGCACAGAAAGTACATTTTCCTCGTGCGACGTCAGCAGTTTATGAAAATGTTGGTCTGAAACGCGTCCAAACGCGTCATGTGACGCATATAAACCTAGGATTGTCGACAAACCTCCTTTGTGAATTCGGGCCGAAAGGTCTAGGGGCCGTTTCTCGAAACCAACTCCATGACAGTCAGTCATATCTTTGTCGGCGACCTACGGAGATGTCATGAAGTGGATAAACCGTTTCACGAAGCCATGACAGACATGATATCGATATATCGCGATACTAGCAGCTCAAGAACATAGTCTTTGTCACGATCCATTTGATTTATGACGAATAACCCAAAACAAGTTTTGGGGCTAAAATTGTTCAACAACAAACATATACTAAAATAAATACGAAATAGTGTCATCAAATGTAGATCATCAAACAATTTGCATATTTCTGCAAAGATTCTTAAATTGAAGAAAGACCGGTGAGTGTTTTTTACTCGACAATCCGATCAAAAGGTAGTTGAAGGATACCGTAATGTGATAGTTTATCAATACGTACTTTTTTGTTTATTGTGACGAGAAATTTTAGGCAAAATACCATTTCTCAGTCAGTTTTTATTCTAGAGTCTCATAAATACTCGTTATATAATTAATTTGATATTGAAAATATAATTTGGAAGAAGTAATTAGAGAGGGAATAATAATGCACATAGGCCCCAAAGGTATGATGGTATCCTAAGAAAAGACTATGGATCGACTATGGACAACAGTGTGTAACATTCTTATCTCTTTTATTTATATGTTATAGTTTAGCGATTTGTGATTTAATGTTTATATTCAGCTTTTTAAAATTTCTGTATAATTTGTATTATCACTTCTTTACATTTGCATTTCGCATCCCATAATATTACATACGGAACTCGTCTATATTTTTCTCAAAATGATAGTGGAACTAATCGTACATTTCGCGGCCCATGGAATAGCAACAAACTGACTTGTGATGGCGCTTTACAGCAATTAAAAAGATATGACGGGTTCGGAGCAGTGACAACTCATTGTCGCGGAAGTTGTCGCTCATCTTGGCAAAGACGGCTTCGTGAAACACTTAGCAGACAAGTTGCGTGACAGTGGCGAGATGTCGTTGATCCTGTAGTTATGGTTTCGAGAAACGCCCCCCCCCCCCGGTAAACAGTGGACTCAGCATCTTCTATGCAGTTACGTGACAAAAGATATACCTATTCTAAGCTTGCAATCAAATGCGATTTACTGTATCGGAGTTCTAAAATCTAGCAGAAATATTTATAGATTGATATTCGTTGGTTTTTTTAAATTTAGTATTGATACTGAGTTACTAACGTGATAATCATTTCAACTGAGCAAACCGAATACTCGGTTGAAGATTTAGGGACCCTTCAAGTGTGAGGTCGTCAGTGTTGTAGCTGTGCTAGCAGGCAGCAGCACATCTCATTTGACCTTTGGCCCGTCACGTCACATGAGCTCACTGGCTATCCGTTAACTGGCCTATTCATTTTAATTACAATAACAATATTCGAGGTTTATATAGCACTTAATACATCGACGTCAACTCGTCTTTAAGCGCATTACAGGTATATTATTAACCGGGTCATCGGATTATCGTATTATAGACTGAGACCCTTACAATGACTTTAGTGCCAGGCTTGGGTTCGAACCCTAAGTCCTTCGATTTAAAATCAAGTGAATATTCCAATATACCACGGTATCCCTGCTACTCTCTGCTTCAATTATAATTTCTAACACGAATAGCCACGGACATGATCAATGATGGGATTATAAAGACAAAAGTCGAATCGATGCAAGTTTTAACGCAAAATTGGTAAACCCCCCCCCCCAAAAAAAAAAAAAAAAAAAAAAAAACGTGCCTTCTAGAATCATGGGAATGGTAAACTGATTTTCATTCCGGATTGATGTGCATGGCGTATCGCAATTTTCTAGCCTTGTTCATTACATGCAGAGCAGACGGAAAGCATTATACGCTTCACATTTACACCATGCATATCACAGAGCTTAAGTGAATACAAGTAAAACCTTTTTTTCTTCATCCAGTTGTGATACATTTAAACGAACGAAAGAAAAAGGCCGCGGCGTTTTTTTTAAGGGGGGGGGGGGGTGTAGCGGCGTCATTTTAAAAAGAGCCGTTAATTTTCACGCCAAATTTGTGGTTGTCCTGGGGGAGGGGGGAGATAATTTTTTTCGGGGAAATTGTCAGGGGGTAATTGTCTTTGGGGAGGGTGTGGGGGTAATTGTCCCGCTGGTAATTGGCCCGGGGTGATTTTCCAAGCGGTAAATATCCTACACCGTAAAAACGCTGCTTAAAAAAGTAATGTTCACTTACAGTTGTACACTATCTTAAACAACAGTTGAACAAATTGTAAACAACGTTGCTCGAAACGAAAGTAATTTTGTTAAACATTCGCTGTTTAAAATTTAATGACTGCTATATTTACTATACGAGAGCTTTTAGACAGTGTTGTTTACATATGACGACATGTGTCACGTGCCAGTAAAGTGAGCGTTGGTTGAAAGCTTTATTTTACATCATGGCCGACCAAGCTACCGACGCGCTTCTAAGTGACTGGGGATTCAATGGCTAAATTGAAATCACTTTTCTATTAACCAATTTGAAGTTTTTAACTCATAGCGTAAGTTCACAGATAAAATTGTCAGTATCTGTACGCAAATGTCAGAATATAGGTAGACTTAAAATCGTCGCGTCATGCAGTGCAGCACTGATCGCGCACTCGGTTATAACGTGTGCTAAACTCCTTGCCATAGAGATTGGATGCATCCCTATTATGCAGTTTATACGTGCGTGAACGCTTGTCATGCAAAATGGGCACTGTTTTGGCGCTAATTCATAAATTGCAGAATACACCAGTTTACGGTTGTGTGCGCCATTTTAAACAAAGTCAATGACCTGGAGGTCATGTATTTATGCGTAAATTAAGATTGCGCTTATGCAAATTATGATGATATCACTGCCTACGCGCTGCGTTGTGCGCGCACATCATCATTTGCATGAGCGCAATCTTAATTTACGCATAAATATCACTGGTCAAAGGTTATTGGCCCTGTTTCAGGGCCAATGACCCGAGGTCAACTGTCTGCGCATGCGCACTGATACAACCGTAAACTGGTGTATTACCCTACCATATTGTTTAATAGTCTTCTTATACCTATATAGAGACCCATAAGTAGTGGTGCACTTATTCAGAGTATCAAACCCAAATTATACCCCATTTATTATACAACCCTTTTGTCGTAAACAACCCCCACTGAACAACAGCTCCTTTTTAAACAACTTTCTTTAAACCAAAATAACTACATTATAAATTAACTTCCAGAGTAGATTTTAGCCAGGAATTGAACTAATTATTTCACATTAATATGAAATTATGATTGATGTTTTCTGGAACAAAAAGGTGTTAAAAATGCCACATCTAGGCCTTAAAAACAATCAGGTCACCCGTTAATCCGAGGTTTAAACTTTTAAACAACTTGTTCACAAAAATTTTAACTGAGTGTGTAGAATCCCTAAATACATAAACATTCAAGTATTAACTAAAAATGAAAAATGAAATATTAAGAACCTCAAATTTAGCTATTAACATAAATGTATGATATGCATGCAATCATAAAGTTGTAACGAATGTTGTATTTCTATTGATTGTCTGCATTCTACTATCTATCTGCTAAGATTCTTGATTTTTAAAAGAAAACTAAAATTCACATTTCCAATTTCAATCTCTCCCTCTCGTTTTCATAGCCGATTGTCAAGATTATGATTCATTTGAGTCCTTGGATTGTCCTCAAAGCCAAACAACTCAGGAAGACACTACTCGAGGGATCACATCGACTATATCTACGGTATCTACAACTATCAGCTCTTTAGGTAAGCGTAAAAAAGATCATTGTAAATAGCTTGTAAAATATCAGGGCTATTTGCATAAAATCAAAACTATAGTAGCCCACTACGTACCAACTAATGAAGTAGCCAACTCACCGCAGTTGTAGTTTGGAACCAGACACTGTGTGCTCTCAGATGGAGAAAGCACGGGTTAAAAAGTACATAGTTTAAAAGTAAATCTGCATAGCACTGGCAGTCTTTCATTTCGAGTTGTAATCTACTATGTTGCAAACAATTGTCATAAAGTTTTCTCAGAACCTTGCAAGCTAGTACCAAACAAAAGAGATGCCAACTAGAGAATGATATTTATGTGCTCTTGGTTACAGTATACCTTCGTAGAAAGGGATGAATGGCGATACAACATTCTATCAGACTAATTTCCATCATTCGTTGTCGAAAATTTTCACATGACGGTTCCAATACAATCAGCTTTGATGATTTTTTTTTCTTGTCCTCTTACCGAGGTGTTTTATTTCACATATTACACATTTGTTATATATTTACATCAATTTACATTTTAACATAATACAAAAAGACAAAAGTAATGAAATAAATAGTTATAGCCTTAACATTTCTTGAAAAATTTCTTTGTGTTTCGTCAATAAAAAACTTTGTTTATTTGCTATATAATATCGTAGTTCTAATTTGAAATTAATGAACAGACTTTTACTATTGTACTCTTTACCATCACACCGAAGTTGGATATACATTATGTTTATTATCTATTCTCCTAAAATTAACATGAAGTTTATCACAAAGTTCTCCTTCTTTTAATATCATAACCTATAACTAGCTTTTTCATAATATTTATTTGTTCATGAAAGTAATTATAATATAAGTTTTCATTAATTTTCCAAAAAACTCTAACCTTGTTACATTTTAACAAGACATGAGAAGTAATTTTGTTTCTTTACATGTATCACACTAGTCATTTTCAATTATACGCCATCTGCATAAATTATGTTTTGATGGAAATATATTATGCAATATTTTAAAATTAACTTGCTTTATCCTATTATTTCCTATTTGTTGAAATTTAAATTGAATACTTTCTGCCAATTAAAGTAAAAGGTAAATTCAAGTAATATTCCCAGTAACGTGTAATATTTGGTTTTTGACGTTTTTGTTTCAGTAGGGGTAAATAATAATTTTTCGTCTTGAAACTAGATATATCAACAAAATCTTTTTTAGCTACTTCTATCAAATTGTAATAGTTTTGTTTATTATACTTAATTGAATATTCTTTCGAACGTATAATTCATTTAACCAATAGCATGGGAACATTTCTTCAATTTTGCGTGTTCGAACTCAAATAATATTTCATGAATACCATCTTTACTGTTTAACATAATCGAGCCTTTCCAACTACCATTCGTAATCACGTGGTTTACTTTACGAATTCGTTTATTTAGTCAATTGTCAATATGATTCATTTACCTCCTTGGAATTGTACTCCAGGCCAAACATCACAGGAAGACACTACTCAAGGGATCTCATCTACTCTATCTCCGGTATCTACAACTAGCAGCTCTTTAGGTAACCGTTAAAAAACAATCACTTGTAAATAGCTTATAAAATGTCAGGGCTATTTGCATAAAATCAAAACTATAGTAGCCCACTAAAATCCCTACGTACCAACTATGGAGTAGCCAACTCCCCCACAGTTGTCGTTGGAAACTAGACATTGTGTGCTCTCTCAGATGGAGAAAGCGCGGGTTAAGTAAGAACATAGTTTAGAAGTTAACTTACTTATCACTGACAGTATTTTATGTCGAGTTGCCATCTACTTTATGTTGCCAACAATTGTTATTCATAAAGCTTTACTCAGAACCTTGCAAGATAGTACCAAACAAGAGAGATGCCAACTAGAGAATAATATTTCTATGCTCTTGGGTACTGCATACCTTCGTAGAAAGGGACGAATGGCGAGACAACATTCTATCAGGCTAATTTCCATCATTGGTTGTCGAAAAGTTTAACATGACGGTTCCAGTACAATCAGCTTTGATGATAACATAGGTTGACGAGAGCATTAATGCGTTTGGTAACACAGCTGATTTTAAGCCGTATTCACACGATAGCTATTCTGGTCGGCCTTAAGGTCGTGTTTAGAGCTAGTCAGCGTAGATTATTTGAATTTATTTATTACACATTCTAAAAAAGAAGGGTAGCCCAAGCAGCAAATAAATACTGGTTTTCGTTGAGGCCCTTCATTACACAAGCAAGTTTATACATTTCAACAAATCAAAATATAAATAAAAATAGAAAATTACAAAATATGACTTTAACAAACACAAAATTGCAAACCAGATTATATATTAACGGATTTGAACATGGAGAACAACGAAATTAGTAATATGTATATGATACAAATATGCAAATGCCATATATCCAAATTGAAACAAACAGTAAAAAATAAAAATAATAAACATTAACAAACAAACAAGAAAAAATAAAATAAAGATATAATAAAATATATACAAAGAGGAGAGAAAGAAGAGTTATATTATACCATTATACGAGGATGCCTTTTGCCATTTTGCCATTTCTCGTTTAAATGGTTTCATATTTTCTATAAATCTAATGCGTTCTTCTGGCAAGTTATTCCAGTTTGATGGACCTGTGACTAGAAATGACTTCTGGTAAAAATTCGTACAAGCGTGTAGCATCCTAATTTTATCGTATTTGTGCTCCTTGTTGTTCGAGATGATACTGCTTCGATACAAATAAACTTATCACCGAGTACTTCAGGTGTAGCTTTATGTAAACATTTGTGAATCATACAACAAGATGCTCTAAAAACAGATTATCTACTTTCGGCCAGGATAGTATTTCACAAATTTGTTCAGATGGGGTATCCCAGGAAGAACGAGATATCATATTTATGCTGCCCTCTTATGTAATCTTTCCAGTTAACTATGATTTGGTAAAGTCGATTCGACAACTAATGGTCGTTATTTTCCCACAAAAAGACATTTTCAAACCAAATCAAATTCACCCTTAATTACACCTAAGTCAAACTATTTGACATTATATATTACATATTACAAATTCAACAAACAGATACCCATTATGTTGAACCAACCTCCTAACCAGCAAAATGACAAGGCAGCTCTAGGAAACCCCCAGAAAACAAATAATTTTCATGGCTCTCCCAAAGCCGTAAGTGCTCTCAACAACTCGCAGCTGGTCAGGAAGCTGGTTCCACAAGACAGGCGCTGCCGTTGAACAAGCACCAGAACCATGCAGGGGCGTAGACAACGGGGGGGGGGGGGGATGAGGGGGATGGCATGTACAATCATCCCCCCAGGTTTTGGGGAATGATATTTGCTTACTTAATAAGTCATAATGATGATAATAATAGTAATAATAATAATGATAACAATTATAATATTGATAATAATAATAATTATGATGATGATAATAATAATCCTCATCATTATTGTAATTGTGTTTATTGTTATTAGCCGCATTCACACGGTGAAAGCCAATTCAGACGGTAAAAAAAGAGAAAACTCTTACATGTATTTTGTGGTTATCTTGTGGTTTGGAAACCACAAGATAACCACAAGATTAAACAGGCGCGGATCTACGGCCCGAAAAAACAAACCAAAAAAAAAGGAAAAAAAGAAGAAAAAAAAAAGAAAAAAGAAAGAAAAAAGAACGCACGCTGGAGAGAAACCCTTTCAAGTGCAAATATTGTGAGAAGATATTCAACTCATCTGGTAACTTAACCAAACACATGATAACTCTGGATATAACTGTGTATTTAACTGTTACTTGATTTAAAAAGACGTTATCATGCACTGCTTTTTATGGTCTCCATTGTGTTAATAGATGCCAGGAAAACATCACTTACGGGGTTCAAATAAACACCAAAAAAAAAATCGGCTCGCCGCTTCGCGGCTCGTGGACGATGCTCCGCATCGTCATTATTGGTCACCCTCCCCCTTAGCAAAAAGCTAGATCCGCCCCTGAGTCATCCCCCCAGTAGTACGAACCTGTCTACGCCACTGGAACCATGCGTTTGGGTTGATGTGGTAGGGAAATCAGGAAATTCTTTATGAGTAGCGGACATTTTTACCGGGTATGTAAGAAAGAAATAATATCCAGAAGATAAGTCGGGGATTTGTGAATCATTACCTTGTGACACAACATGAGAACTTTATAAACAATTCTTTCTTCTATAGATAACCAATGAAGGCGAGTCAATATGGGTGTTACTGGATCTCTCCCTCTTGCTCGTTCAACAAGTCTCGCAGCACTTTTTTTACACAATTTGCAATTTGTTTATATCATTTTCGTTTAAACGGCATCTTTAATTATATTTGAAACGATATACACCGAAACGCATAGTTGAACATGGACATTTCAGCTGTTCAGCTGTAATAATTGAGAGTCATCACAAGATTAGTCATCAGGAATAATGATAGTTGCATTATTCCCACTCTAGTGCAGGGGTAACCATGTACATGTGTGATTACATAAAGGCATTCTTCTTTCTTCTTTCTCGATTTTTTTTTTGGCAATCAGTCACAGTTGATTATTTTTGACACACACTATTTTATGAATTATTTAGTGTGTGTCCACAAAATGTACGATAACATGTCATAAAATGGCTATTTAAAGTAATTTTTCTTTTCCATCGTCTTGCTTTTTGTTTATTTTTAGGAGAAAATTATATAATTTAATAACTTTGAAATCATCTCTTAAGCCTGTGCCTCATGATAGCCTTTAATTTTAGTGCTCCCATGTACCACGGAAACCGAATAATTCTCTACTATAGTGATTATACTCCACATCATTTCTTTTTTAATTGTGCTTGATTTTCTTTTCACAGTTACAACTCTCTCACCAATCAAAGAAGAAGTTAATAAGATAGTGAATGTAAGTCATCCTTAAACATTAATAACTTTTTCAGTTGCTTTTCCTTTTGCTCTCACCTATAATGCTCTCTCTCTCTGTCTATCTCTCTCTCTCCTTCTCTATCTCTCTCTCTCTCTCTCTATATATATATATAAGTTTGTATGCCATGTATATTTTTCATACAATGTATTTGTTTTTGTATGTGTTTGCACTTCAGAATCTGAATAAGGCCTCACAAGCTGAAAGCTCGTAATAAAATTGTAAAGTACAGCTACGTCTCACGTTCCTAGACCATTTTCTTCACGCATATATATATATATATATATATATTCTTAATAGATATATCACTCTCAATATTATGATATCAGTGCATGAAGAATAATCACAGGAAACCTATTAAAGACTCTCACCGATTTCCCTTCCCCTCTGTTTTATACGTTGATAGAAGAATATTTCGGAGACTGTACAATGTTTTAATATAAGACCATCAAAGCAAATATATACATGCGCTAGGTCATCCTAATAATGATCCCGAATACACGTGAAACTTTCTTAACTTTATAACAAATAAGGAAAACCTCACATCGTTCTTCAAATGATGATAGGAAGCGAGCAGGTGCGGATCCAGGATTTCTTAGGGGAGGGGGCCCAACTTTTTTTTTTTTTTTGCTCCCGAAAATTTGAAAATCGCGCCGGCCGAAAAGTTGCTCAGTGGGGGGGGGGGGGGGGGGGGGTGAGGGGGGGGGGGTAGAAAGCACAATTTGGGGCCCAACCCCAAAAAAGGTAAAAATCACGTGATTTTACATGATTTTTTTCTCAAGGGGGGGGGGGCCGGGCCCCCCCCGGCCCCCCCCCCTGGATCGGCCACTGGAAGCGAGCATGTAAAAAGCATAGTCTAGATCATCTATCTGCTTTACATATGATGATAATAGTAGTAGTAATAATAATAATAATAATAATAGTTACATTTGTAAAGCACCGCTTATAATATTATTATGTTGCGAAGCACTTTACATTGTAATTATTTGTACCCCGGTCATTGGATTAAATTGCTAATCAGCACATGATAGTGCACACGCTTAGTTTCCTGGGGAATATTCATATATTTTACAAGCGTACAAATGCCAATCAAACCACGTTAACGTTCTCAACCCAGCATGTACCCATACAATGTTACGAAGGCGAAGTATTCGTGCATTTTTGGAAGCCTTAGCTTATCTCCGCAAGCGGTTGTGATAGCCAAAAAGGAACCCCAAAAGGTAGAAATAGGGATGCAATTCTGAAAAATTATAATATTTTATGAAGTTATCTCCTTTTTTGTAGTTTCATTTACTTTTTTCTTTCAATTTTGAATATATGTTTATATTTGTACAGCTCTGATACGCAGTTAAAGTTTTGAGGGTTAGTTGTGTTTCATTTTCTCACATTTTCTTTTTCAATAATTGCTAATTTAGACAAATATCACGATGGACAATATAGAAGTTATATCTGATGAATTAGCGAATGTAACAGAGAAATCAACGAAATTTGATGAGGAACTCCTGGAGTCGGTCACCGACAAATTAAGAAGCATCGTTGGATTTGCATCGGAGCAGAACTTAACAGAAGATGTCATTGTACAAGTAAGATTTTAAACTTTTAGTGATGCTCCTCAAGTACATATCGCATTGCGTACAATTATTTATTGTATGGATATATCATATAACACGTCATCGCAGAACCAAGCTTTTGTAATTAGAGGGAGCAATTCTCAATTGGAGGATGAGCTCACTGTAATTCCTCAAGGGACAAAATTGGGGCCTTATGGTTCTAGTTATAAACAAAGAGGCTCGCATGTAGATAGTGGTGTAGATTTCCCAAATGGAATGGCAAAATAAAAGTGAAAATGAAGGGAGAGATAAAGGAGAAGTAAGAAGAATGTGAGATAGGAGATAAATTGTTTGAAAATGCCCTTCAAGGATTATCTTATCATACAAATTAGCAACATTGGGACAACATGATTAGTCTTTTAAAAAAATATTAATTGATCGAGGCAAAACGTATGAAACAATGGGATTCACAAGCGATTAGGGGGATTTTTATTATCATTATCATTATCTCTATCATTATTGTTATTGTTAATTTTGAGAGCGTACAAGCAAAGATCATGAAACTACCATCATTTATCAACTTAGTTTGTTTAAAAAAAAAATTATAACATGATAGACAACTAAGAACTCCAAAATTTGTCACGGAACGGTCTTTTACGACTCATTAAGTAAAAATATAACCATTTCCATTATTATAATCAACGTTAATATAAATAGAGGATCAAGGGAACCTATACGCTAGTAAGCAGTTTTGGAATGTAAATTACTTTGTTTATTTTATTTTTTTAAATCTCAGAGTGCCATATATGATGGAGATGCTCTTTCAATAGTCCTATTTATGCCTATTATACTGATCCTATTCTAACATTAATTACTTAAAGAAGAAGAATAATTGAGTGAGTGTTCTCCCACAATTATCAATGCTGATGTTTACCTTCTTAAAATAATAGGAAATATGTAAAAGTAAAGACGACGAGATTATAGCTGCTGTAGCAGTGATATTTACGAGCATTAATCACTAAGAGTCACTCTTTACAAGTTTAAAGATAAAGTTGAGTTCTAGTCATGCGATTGCATTGTGGAAAAAAAACGTTGTGGAATCGATCAGAAAAGGTTGATCATCTAGCAAATAAGTATTGGTGTGTACTGCAAGGTCCTGGAATCATCAAATTGTAAGAAATTTGGCCAAGTCTTGGTAAAGTTACAAGCACTGTACACAGAACGATGTATATGGGACTACACGAACATGTGGCATAAAAATCCGTCCCGAATTTCATGATGTTACATGCCATATTTAGAATATTAAGGCATTTGAAGAGCCATGCTTTTCAGGGAACATTTTTAATCTGATGTTATTCCACACTTGCATAATAACAATGATAGCGCTCACAAATTATTTTTCACCTCTTCCCAGAACTCAGCCTTCTTTTTAATACCATCAAATCAAATCGTGATTTTTCTTTATCACAACCTATTGTACGACGCGCATTAAACGATTTTCGAAAATTATATGGGGCGATCCGATCTGCGTCCTTCATGTAGTGTACAGCACAGGAGATAACGAAATGGTGATAGGATTAAGAGATAGCTAGACGATCTACGGGAAAAACGTTTCAATAAAAAATGGACAATTTGTCCACGGGGCAAAGGGTATATCTTATAATCAAACTCTTATAATTATGGAGAAATAATTGTTATATGTGCCCCCCCCCCCAAAAAAAAAAAAAAAAAAAAAAAAAAAAAGTTGATAAACGCTGATGTTAGTAGACTCAAGACTGTTTTTTTCTTCAAAATTAACAATGTTCGACATTTATAATGAAGAAAAAAAACAGTCAAAATGACTCTTATAACGTAAGAGAAATAAGTGAAGAGAAAACGACAAAACAGGCACTGGAGTGTATGTAAGTTATGGAAAATCGTGTGCATAGCTCATTTGGTCCCTTCAGAGACGTCACAAATCGTAGGAGTGTTCGGAGCGCTCTTCAAGTGACAAGTGCGAAAATGGGGCGGTATTTTAGTTTTATAATTGTTAATAATCATTACTTTGAATGTTTCTAAGGCGGGTACTTTATACAAGTGTTTGATGTCACTTTCCCTTATGCCATGATGCAAATCACATCAATATTAAAAATCAATTAACCTGTCCTTTAATTATTGCAAGTGGACTGGGAATAAATTACATCCATGCCTAACAATATATCACTTACAAATCAATTTCTAATAGGTTTCCGAGAGCGTGATAGGAGCGGTGGATAATATCTTAAACATCCCAGAGAGTACCTTCGAGACAGCGAGCTCCCAGCAGGTCTCAAACGAAATACTGACTATAATCTCCACATTGACTGAAGTCATTCAAAAGACATCCACTAACAACTTCACCTACAGGTATGAGGATAACGGTGCCGTTGGTCTCATTGACCGGAAGCGATGGATTCCCTTCCTAGCTTGTCTCAGTATTGAGTGATATCGAGTTTTTAGAAATCAGAGTCGAATCCATTTGAAATTCCTTATGATTTATTTTAAAGATTGAATTTTATAAACCGCGATCATGCACACTAAAAAATAAAGGTAAAAATTTGCTCCATTAGAGATGCAGACCTCTGCTACTATGGCAGCACCATATAGGGTGGGGTGCATTTTTACACCCTAGAGGGAGCATATACGTGCACCCTTAGGGGTGCAGAAAATAACTACAATGGCAGCATCCCTTAGGGTGTAATTCGTCACACTACTTTGGGTGCAGAATTGCAACGTATGGGGTGCTGATCTTGTAACAGAGATCTGCACCCGTTAGGGTGCAAATTGGTACCTTTATTTGTTATTGTGTATGATTGAAGGAGTAGATGTGCACCCTTGGGTGTAGACATCGGGCCCGCTTGGGTCCTTTTTTACCTAGGCAAACCATCGTATAAGTCAATCACAGCATTATTATTTGTTTGCTTTGCCTCACTCTTTCTAAAGGCAACAATAGGAAGGAATAATTACAGAATCTACGGCGGGCGTTTAACAAAAACCCACACTCCAAAGATGTGTTTTTTTTATTCGGATGTTTGCAATGTCTTTGTCTTCATCGTAGTTGCAGTGTAAATGCAGCTTATTTTCAAAATTTGTAAACTGGTCTAATGTCATTGGGAATTATTTTCTAACGTGACATAGATAAGCATACGTGTATCTTATCCGTGCATTATCATTTTTTGATGGACATTTTCGTTTGCACGGTAGCAGTGGTAATACATAATGATAATAATGATAATGGCTTCTTATAAAACGCACTTGTATACGCCACATCTTGACGCTCCTGGTGCTGCCCGATTTTTACCCTGGCTTCGGGCAAGGGAGCCATTACGACGCTCTAGCATTTCAAGGAATAGACCAGTTCACGGTTAGCTCATTACTGCAATGACCCCGAATATCAACAGATCTTCAAAACATGAAGAGGTCCCACTTTGTACATTTCGAAATAATCACTCCAACAGCGATGGAGGTGCTACATAAATAGCCTTTGTTTCCCCTTTTCAAATAATACTTCAACCTGTGTATCATGGAGTGCATAAATGAATAATGATTACATAACTTTCTTGAGCACGTTTCCAGTATTTCGTCTCCGTGTATTTCACAATTTGTTCCGCAGTGACCTTTATCTGCTCATGCTCAGACTGCAACCGTGAACTGGCGTATTCATTCCTGCCATGTACTCATTTACATCACCTGGGCTGAGTAACAAAGAAAGGTGCACGTGGTGTCTTTTGATCAAATATATTGGCTACATTCTTTAACCCATGTTATCAATGTGATACATCCACTGATACCTAAATAAGCCCAAATACCCACGTGTGTACCCCCCCCCTCACAAACATTCTGATGGTTTTATTTCTACATACAGTGGATCGAATATTATACTAACAGCTCTCAAAGTTGATAGGACGAGTTTTCCACTCAGAACTGCCATAGGTGGAGCCGGGAATGACGTCATCGAAATTTCAACCGATGAAGGAACTCTGTCTAATATGGCGGACGTAGCATCTGTTACGTTACCATCTGCAATTCTACCTTTCGTGCCAGGTCTGTTTCTTCTTCTTTACTTTTTCGATGTTGAAATTACTTTCTTCGAAAAGCTTCAGCTTCAGGACTAAAACTTAAATCAACATTATTCTCATAACTCTGAGGTACAGTTCACTCCATATTAATAGGAACATAAAATTAACATTTAATGTTGCAATAGTTAGGAAGAAATGTTTGAGATCAGAATAACCAAGACATCATATTACCCAAAGCTAAGAAACAAATAAAAAGACAAGCAAACGATCTGATGTTAGACCCAACCCCCCCCCCCCCCCCCCACACACACACACACACTTGTCAAGTTCTTGTTGAACCCATTTGTAGATGTTGGTCTCGTGAGCTGTCGGTCAAATGGGAAACCCCGGACAGTCCATTGAGACCAACTACTCAAACAGTAAGTTTTTCCCGAAATGAAGATTTCTGTAAAGACTGCATTTTTATTACATTCACGTATATTAAACGCATACAACACTGTGTTTGAACTTTAGATGACAGTAAGGCGATATCCGTCAGTGTCTTTCTAGTAAACTCGCCCAAACTGTTTCAGGGTGACAGACCATCTTCATCAAGTATTCCCTCGTCTACAGACAAGCAGAATCAGCAGCCAAAGATCACCGTTGTCGCTTCTCCTATCTTAACTGTGACCATTGAGGGAACTGATATCAAAGACCTCCCTGATAATGAATCAATTACCTTTGTGTTTCCTGTGAATCAGGTATATTTATGTAGACTCTCTTTTATTGAAACGACCACTTAATAACTCACGAATTTGTACTAAGTTTCATGATGAAGGAGCTGTCAATTGCACTTCTCACTAAAAATGTTTGTTGTAATGATGAAGATAAGCTTAAAGACATATGTCGTAATGAGGGTAAATTCAACACATTATAAGGTCACGTACCTAATATAAATTCCCATTAAGAACTCGATTATACAGGGGTCGATACTTATAACCCTGTATAAAGCCAAATCTAAGCAATGATAGATGTATTATGTTTTGTTGGAACGTTTGGTAATGAAGAATGTCGTCACATAAAATATGTGTAACACAAAGAGTTTGGACAGAGAAGCAAAATTTGCGATGTTTCTTAATGGTGTAGTTATCAGAATACCAATGTTAACGGAATTGTTTTTGCAACAAAATAACGCATTTTCTCTGTTACGCACACCTATCTTAGAATTCGGCGGAAAAATACAATGACACCAAACATCCAGCGCGCTGTGTGTATTGGGACATCACCTTGGAAGAATGGTCGGACGAAGGGTGTAAAATCGACAATGCTACCTTTACAGACATGGTGGCTTGTCGGTGTAATCATCTCACAAGCTTCGCTGTTCTTTTGGTATAATATCCATTTCAAATCACATGTTCTCGTTCGTTAACGCGTGAAGCCATGTTGCTGACCTTACATCTTGATCGTGAACATATATCAATCATATTAAAATGGGAAACAATTGAGTGTTGAACAGTTTTGAGCATAGATATTTCACGAAATTATGGGATGCAAAACTACAATGCAATTGTATGCATGTTAGCTACTTCTTTACTTATGGTGGTATTTATCAAGTCCGAGTTATGCGTACATAGGCACTATAAAGCCCACATTAATTCATGTATATACTCGTATGTACAAGATTTACTTTTTTTCTCAACTTTCTATGGGTTTATTTTCTTGACTTATAACCCAACTTATTAGACAGCCAACTACTGTTTTACAATCACAATGTTTAGTAATACTTTCAAGAGCCATAAAAGGCAAAGATTATATTTTTGAGTATTATTCAAATCAGCATATAATTACATGTTAATATATTCGATCGAACTTGAAGGAGTTAACCTTCCTCCCAATCTTTTCATGTTTAAACTTCTTTTTTTATTTATAAATTTCTCAGATAGGGATTCTGCTATCGTAAACAAATACGAACAACAAACATTTGAATAAGTTTAATTTGGTCCATCGTATATATACCGGAATGCATCTAAAATTCTTCTGGAAAGGGGAATCCTATTGTAGATATAATTCAAATCGTTATTCTTTATCATTTTCAGGATATCAAGGGAAGTTTTGAATCTCAAGTTATTGATCTGATCAGTCGCATCGGTTGCATTGCATCAATTGTGTGTCTGTGTTTGACCATTAGCATTCTTCTGGGTTTTAGGTAAGCAATGTTTGGACCCAGCTGACTAAAGTTAATATGACTTTTTGTCAGTTCTAGCGTTTTATCTCAACGGCTCACTTAATCCATGTCATGCAATACATTTGCAACATCACTTAGCACGACGTCCTCCATATTTCGGTTTGATGATTTATTTTACCTGATTGATAAGAAAGCATGTGTTATGCTTGTAAGTAAGCAACCAGGGGACCGACGGCTTTAATTCCTTTCCGAGGGACTAACTAACCGTATAAATGCCTGAATAGAGAGCATTAGCGAAACCACTTGGTTTAGAAGCCGTGTCCTCCCAGTTTCGAAACCACTGCTCTATCACTGAGCCATCTCCACTCCTACCTCTTTGTTTTTACAGCTGTTACTGTCATCCTCTAAGCTTCCGTTTTTCATACGTTCAAACCGCAATACCCCATAAATTTTTTTTAGAATTAAAAGAAAATTCTTATCCGCTACTCTAGCGTTTTAGGGACCGCCACTAGTATGGAAATTCTCCATATAGAGTTTAAAAATCCAATAAAAATAGTGAAAATCATATAAAAATCACTTTTGGCCGCATAATACCATCGAAATAAATCCTGGTACTGTAAAGTATAGTTTAAAAATATGATCTTATTAACATGTTATAATGAAGACTACTTCTTGAAATCATATTGCAAAGTCTACTTTAATTTGTTTTCCAAAATATACGTAGAACCTAGCCTTGTACATAGTTTCCCATACTACATTCAATAATATGGAATAATATACGAGCAGTTAGCTTACAAAATATTCCACACTGATTTAATGTGGATAAAATCACATGTAGGCTGTAAATACCACTGATGTTTTTGATAAAATATCGTTCATTTTCTGCCTAAAGCCCCAATAAATATGGTAGATTTTTACTCTAGATGAATATTATTAAATCATTTTCTTTGGCGAGAAAGGAGTGTTGTATACATACGCGTTGACTTTAATAATGTGTTCGTGGGTTTCTTTCCACAGAAAACTGCGTGGAAAACGGCCACAACAGATCATCGTTAATCTCTGTTTCGCCTTGCTATGTTTATACGTCACTTTCGTCATCGGTATTGACCGACCGACCTGGAGGATCAGCTGTACTGTGGTTGCTATCCTATTGCATTACTTCTGCCTTGCATCGCTTACTTGGATGGGTGTAGAAGCCTTCAGCATGTACATGTCATTCGTCAGGGTTATGGACACCTACATACCCAAATTACTCCTAAAGTGTTGTCTCGTCGGATGGGGTGGGTCGAAAGTTCTATTTCATTTTTTTTTTCTTCAATCGTTTGAATTGCACCAAACAAATTGTTTTATAATGCTTTCAAAGGCATAATGGAAAGGCACCCCAAATGTATTATCATTTTTTGTTTGTAAAAATGTTGGGGGTAATGCTAGATTTTATTCCAAACTCGATTTCTTTCGGTATTAAAATTCACCGAGAGTTTGTTTTCATATGATATTCTGATGACTTAAACACAAAGCCCCAGCCCCCGCAAATTTGTATTATACCTTTGAGTGAGTTTACTCTCACTGATTTGAAATGTTATCTTTATAAACCGTAATTATGTGAATAAAAGGGTTTGATTGTTGCGAGGTGTCGATTCTTCACATATTAGACAATAAACAATATACTTGATATTCCCGTATCCAAATACACAAGTATGTACTGCATTGAGAGTCTCTGGTTGAATGTATTCAAGATGACGTGTGGATAGGACTATGTTTTTAGCTTGAGTCCTATTCACGTCTCAAAGACTATTTCCTTTAAAGTTCCTATTCCATAAGGGTCGCATTATGTAGTACGATCTTGTGCCAAGAGTCTATATGCTTTGTTAACATTCAAGGAAAATGGGTGAACTAACCCACCCCCTTTAAAAAAAAAAATATTTTGCATTTGTCTGGAATTTCAAAAGTTTTCAAGGAGTCGCAGCAAATTGATTTACATTATGTATTTGGAACTTTTTAGCACTTTCGATCAAATCTGGAAATCTTTTTTTGCTCAGCTGATGGTGTCAGACGGGTTTAAATTAAAGTGCAGACCATTTGAGGGATAATCTAAATTTGGGAGAGGGTGGCTTTGTTAATGGAAAGACATCCCTCGTCCACCAATAAGCCATTTCCACAATGTAATCAATTTAATACATAAATCTTGTAAAGTGCTCATTACAAATTTGTTCATTCACCTGTTACAAACGAATTTATTTCAATAGTTTGTCCTACCAGCAACAATTAATGTATGCAATTCGCACTCTGACTATTGACATATAACTAATTGTAACAGGTGAATTAAATAATTAACATGGCACAAAGATTTATGCATTGAATATGATTAAATTGCGTAGATGATCTATTGAATCAATGAGCCTGCATTTTTGTAATATTGGTCATATTGTTTGTATGTTGTAGATCTTGAAAACACGCATTTAAATGTGTGCTACCCATAAAGGTTTTATGAGGTGTAGCCACCGAGCAATAATATTTTTTTTTTGGGGGGGGGGGGCAATCGTGAAATTTGTGCTATAGATCACATTAGGGCATACACATTGTAATATCTTATTTTTCCTATTGCATTTAACAAAAATATTCGGGGGAAGATCTCCGCCTGAATTTCCCCAGAGGATGCTTCTCACCCCATCCAGGACCGCTACCCAGGATGTCATGTATTATCAATTTTTGTTTCTCACTGTCTTTTTCCCCTTTTCTGATTGGTTTTACGTGCATTTGATTTGCTTCAGTCATTTCTCATATCACCATCTTATACTTATTGAAATTTTTTAATGGTCTTTATACTCCAAAATACAGGCATCCCGTTAATTGTCGTCATAGCAACAGTTGCCAGTAAATGGACAGCGTACCAAAACTCTGACTAGTAAGAAAATAGATTAAACAATTTACTCTTAACCCGACAAAGACCTCCGTTGCTTTGTGCGTAATCCACAACGCTCAAATTTGTCTTGGCTTTTCATAAAAACATTGAATGTATCTTTATATCAGGTTTACACAGATATAACCAGGTGTTACATAACAATATGGCGTGTTAATCTTAAAGGCACACTGCCATACTTGTAGCTACTTGCTCCCTCTATATAGAAAACTTCCCCAATCGGTGCCTGTTGGTCCCCCATGATCCTCTTTTTCTTATGTTAAATGAGAGCTGAGTTAATGAGATAGCCACCTGTCACAGTGACCTCGATGGCTCTCTGTGTGGTCTAATCCCTTCTGGCCCAGTAGTGGTGACGGTCTTTAAAGGGAAAGTCCACCCCCAAAATAAGTTTGTTTCGATAGAGGCAGAATAATAAGAAAATCAGGTGAGTGAAAGTTTGAGCAAATTCTGAATGAAAATAAGAAAGTTATGAATTATTGAAGTTGTGATCAATCAAATACAAATTGGCAACTCTGTGACTTATCATACGAGCTCTCCCTCATTTGCTTTGTGCATAATATTCCATAAAATCATGTTTTCTTCGTTATTGATGACGGAATATATATTTGTTCCTTGCAGGGGGAGTATAGAAACATATTTGCAATTATTATATTTAGGGTGCATGTATGGTTGAAATTTTTTCTTGAGGGAAAATGAAAATTTTAGATTTTTTTAGTACTGAGCAAATGGAAGTTGAGCTCGCATGATACGTCATAGAGTTGCCAATTTGTGTTTGATTGATCATAACTTCAAAAATCCTAACTTCCTTATTTTTGATCGGAATTTGCTCAAACTTTCACTGACTTGTTTCTCTCATTTTTCTACTCCTATTTAAACTAACTTAATTTCAGGGTGGAATTCCCCTTTAAGTCACACTAGGGGTACAGTTTCTGACAACCACTGTTCGGTAATTACTTGTCAGAGGTCGTAGAGAGGTGTTTGGCTATCTTTAAAAGGTTTTCGGGGGTCGGCCATTGGTCATCGGCTGGGGTTTACGCGGCTGCATCGAAAACCTTTTGCCGATCAAACTGGTCGTGGAAAATGTCAGGTTTATCTTGGCCACAAGGTTAGGTGACATGTCTCACACTGATTGCCGCCTAATCACAGCCTGAACAAGGCCTGATTCCGAGTGGTTACCTATTTCTACCGGGCGATATTTCGTTGAGAAAATTTGTCGTTTAGCTGATCGGCGAATGATTAACGACTAGTGGCCGAATAATCTCCAAAGCTTCGACAACCAGCAACAAATTTTAACTTTTGAAACTTTGACAATTCTTTTGCTGCTTCTACTGCTGCGTCAAAAATTCAGTTTGTTTCATATTTCTATATTGAGCGGGAAAAGATAATAGAAAAGTATGAAAACCAATATTTTGTTTCTTGATTTACATAGATACTGCTATTCTGTGATTTATTTATAAAAGAAACCAGATGTCAGTCACAAACTTTCATGAAGTCTTAGCTAGTCATGACATGCCATTGTGTCTTGAATACAAGATTTGCTTTAATCGATTTTTTTTTAAAAAGGGTCACGGTAATCTTCTTAGCCGAAATACTGCGCATAATCAGTACTATGAATCATCATCATCACCACCATGGTGATCATGATTACCAACGAGTTTATATTAGGGATGCAGTATAATCACATGTCACTCTATATGTCCTGCCAAGGCAGCCACTTAAAAAAAAAATAACAACACAATAAGATGACTTGTGTTCTTATTTTTGAGGGTAAAAACTCCCCTCCCCTTTAATAGTGTACTCTCCATTTCCTTTCATTTGCCATAACGTATTACCTTCATTATCTTATGTGCACGCAGCTTCTCCTTCGTTTTTTAAACTTTAACTTGTAATTGTTTTTTCCCTATCCCGCTCTCTATTTTGTCATAGTGGTTTCATTTCTACGATGAAAGAATAATAATCTGTTTCAATGCAACCTACTTATAATAGTAAATTGGTGGCAAATGTAATAGGGATATATATATATATATATATATATATTGAAATATTTTCGTTCCAAAACACCTTTGATCCGTCTTTCGTCATAATTGTTATTCAAAGCTACACTAACTCACCAAAAAACGTCTTAAGAATGTCAATATTACAGAGATGCTTAACATGCGTGAACATGGGTTGCCTTAATATTGAGTTCATGTTATTATGATTATTTTAAAATTCTCAGAGTAGCAAATGCATTTCAAATGTCATATTTTTCGTTTTTACGTCTCCTGTAATGGAAAAAAGTTATTCTTTCTTGATCACTGACAAATATATCTATTTCCCCTTTTCTTTCAGCTGCTTCCTTTTACCGGGACCTTCTTTATATTTTGGACTGATTCTGCCAATCGGTCTGATCCTCACCTGCAATTGCATCACCTTTACCATTGTTATCTATAAGCTAACCTGTGGTAGGAAGACTTTCTCCGCCACCAGCACAAGGCTGTCCAAGAAAGAAAGGGTAGCCACAATCCGGATCGAAACCATTCGTCGGGCACAAAATGCTGTTGCAATCGGGACGTTGCTCGGTCTCACTTGGTCCTTTGGATTCCTGGCTGTAGGTGATGGTCGCTTAGCATTCAGCGCCCTCTTCGCCACATTGAATTCTCTCCAGGGAGTCTTTGTCTTTCTCCTCTTTGGCATCAGGCAACCTGAAGTGAAAGAAAAACTAAGGGCGACTCGGATGCGACTGTTGCAGGGTGTAAGGTCTGCGCGTAGAGGTTCAGACTTTTGGACCTCATCGAGTGAAGCGCGCATGGATTCACGACCCTCTGACGTCACGATTATCCCAATGGAGCAAACCACTGGCCTTACTGAACCACTGCCTTCAATGTGCCCCGAAAGAGAAGCGTTGTAATCGTTAATTCCGGTGTTTTTATAGAATGTGACAGTTTAGCCTTGTTACTAAACACTTATACAATTAAGTCTTCTACTACTAGTATTACTACTACTACTAATATTACTGTAAAAGTATGCGTGAGACGTAACGGACGTTAGAGTTGAGAAAATAAAAACATGTTTGTAATGTGAATTGCGAATCCCCATATGATACAACCTGAACGCATGTTACTAGTACATAATTTATGAAATGAAAAATAAAAACAGTTATCGAATGAAATCAAATAAGACGAAAATGATATAGCCCTATCACGAAAATGATAATTACACATCAAATAAATGACTGATTTATCGAAATTTTGACGAGTTTATTTATCACTTCTAGTTAGGGTCACATTGTATGTTTTTAAAACAATGTCATTAAAGTGTACCTTGAGAACTTTAGTAAAATAAAATCAAGTGATATATGCTCTTATCATTGATAGCTTTTGCATACTAATAACTTTCCCATATTGATGGTTTTTGATAATTATATTTGATTAATAAGTTACTGTAGTTGAAAGGTTTTACTTGAGCGCAATGTCTTCTGTTACTGGTTTTTAGCTTTAGCCGATTGTCAGTTTTTGAAATGTGTCATCTTATTCTAAGAATACTTAATTATTGGATTCTTCTGCTTCGCAAATGCTTCATCAAACTGTGAATCTATAGGTATAACTGTCATGTGGATTGAATAGTCAATTTGCAAAATATAAAGAGCAATTTTAAAAAATGCATTAAATGGGAGGGGAGTTTAATCATATTCTCATAAGTTTTTTCTCATAGAAATACAATTTGTATTACAAATTTATTGTCCTAAGGGTTACCAAAGAACTTTTATATTGATTTTCTGATAAAATAAACCTTTATCACCAAGAACTTACTTTGATAGAACATCTTGAAAATCAGAAAAAATTAATGAAAACAACACTTCCACAGCTGCAATGATGCGTACAAAGAAAGTGTCATGATGAATCTGTGTGCACTATGGTCTTAATATATATTTATTTATTGTCTTGTGGACGGTGTTTGTCCAATACATTTAGATATACAGCGTTATTCACTCCTATCCCACAATACAGAGAGACAATTTCCATCTTAAACTAATCCGGACAGTTTTTGCCATTAAAACAAAAATTATAGCGGATCCTCTTTTTGGAATGGTTTGGATTCGGATCGTCATAATTTCAGTAACATAATTATGTTACTGAAATTATAATACCTATGAACATAAACAATGGAGAAAAAAAGTCTCATACTAAAGAGAAAGCTTCAGGGGGCAATTATCAGGACTCCGGTCGATGGTTATTTTCAAATCCCTAAGACGCGGATATATGGGGCTACTACGATACTGCAATCTACTATGATCGTGACGTCATAAAATCATTGATTTGCGAAATCTTCAAAAGAAAAAAATATATCATGTTTCTTTAACCAACGACTCTCTGAATCACGAAGAACATTAAAATATATCATTCTTTTTAATTACTTAATCTACATCTTTCTAAATATTCAAACTTCAGAACGTCTCAATATAAACATAATGTTAATTCAATAAAAGCAGTGACAAAATTAGCAGTCCAAGTTATAATTTCCATTTGTTTTAAATAGCGCCTAGGGCCATTCCATGGTAGCAGCGACCGTGGAAATCTCAGAATATGCAATTCCAAACGGATACTGCAAATCGGTCGATTGTAGTCACGAAACATGTTTTTAAGACTAAAGTAATATCAATCTTGAGAGGGTAATACAACAATAAGAGTTTATCATTTAACATTTCATCACTTTAGACTCGATTTCAAGCGCGACAACGATCATTAAATATTGTAAACTCGTAAATGCTTCTAATATGTTCATTTAAACCAAATTCATGAACCCATACCAAAACTTTGTATTACCTTTAAGTTCCATGAAATCATGAATGTGTATAACAACAATGCATACATTAACATATTTCATATTGTGGTATTAATAAAACCATCTGATACAGCAGGAAGGGGTAAATACACGATGTTGTTTCTTCTAGGATTTTTTTTAGAGGATTAATACAAAATAAAAGATTTGTTTTGAATGGGATTTATTACAAGTAAAAGAAAACAAATAGAAAGAATCAATTTCAAAGTGTTGAATAGCGTATTGCCTGTGGAAGGCAATATATGTAAATGAAGATTGGAATGAGTGAAGATGCAAAATGCAATAGTTGTCAAGCTGATAGATAAAGATATGATACATGCTTTGGTTACGTGTAAATTAAATAAACCTTTTGAGGCATATGTTACCTGGTTGATTAAAAAAAAATTCACAAGCAAATTGTCATTAACATTGATCTTTTGATAAAAAAAAACGAACATAACGAAATAGACGATTTTATTACCATAGCTTTGTAGCCAGTTTATATATCTATTTTGTTACGAAATAATAAGATTGTTGATAATAGAAAATCTAGTTTGAGTTTTTTATTTGCTTCTGAACTACGAAAAAAGACTGGAAGTTAACATAAAAATGTACTGGTAAAACTTTGTTTAGACTTTATCTGATTTTGTTTGATATTTGTATTTGAATGTGAAATGAAAGTCTTCAGTTTATAAATAAATGCTATTGAAAGAAGAATAACAAAAACCATGAGCCTTTGTGTCTTGAGAAATCTTAAAGCATTAAATAAAATTATAATCCAATGTCATGTACTGAATGTCAGATAAAGAAGCTACATTATTTTTTTCCACCATATTCGTCTCTGGGATAGGAAGTAAAGTGACTCTCACACTCTGCCGTGTAGGCCTACCGTGTGCCACCGTGCGCGAAAATGTCTGCGGACGGTGGTTCGTTATCAAAGCGGGCAACACGTTAATAGGGCGTTGGCGCTTATTTACACCCGGTGGGACCCGGCGAAAGTTTTGGGCATGTTCAAAACTTTGGCCGGCTGGCACCGGCCGCAAGTAAGCGGCAATAGGACGGTGTTGAACGGTATGAGGACGGTATGAATACGTTATGAAAACGGTCACACTGTATGAACACGTTCACAACACGCTCATAACCCGTTACAGATTGGTGATGAACGGGCAAAAAAAAAATCCACCGTCTGCAACGGGTTGTAAGCGGGTTGTGAACGTGTCATGAACGTCAGCAGTCCGGGGACTCGCTCACAGGACGCTCCGAGCGGTGAGGGGACGCTAAGTGACTGGTAGGTGGCTGCTACAAACCCGGTGCACACGTTCGAGACCCGGTATGGAAACGGTGAGAACGGTCAGAAGATGGCAACGAAACGGTAAAAAGATTAATTTTATGAATTTTTTTTGCGGCCGGGGACAAGTTCGCTCAAAACCCAACGTTCTAGACTCTGTTGTTTTTTTAATAGCCCGGCAGGTGGACGGTAGGCCTACACGGTAGAGTGTAAGAGCTCCATTAAATAGAGGCCCCGAGTAGAAGAAAGTCCCCACCTTTGCACTTTTCGTATACGAGAAGGGGAGCCCAGGTGTACTGGTCCACCTGCACACCCCTAATCAGTTATACCGGGAGGAGAAACCCGAGGGTGAAGCTATGGTCACAACTCAGAGCGGCGACCGACCAATATGTGTAGCCTGCTCGGTCGCCGCTGGAATTTAGGTCAAAATTGGGCGAAATCTGGGAGCTTTTCCGGGCGGCATCCCGGGAGTGACCGACTGATGACCCATCGATTCCCGAGCGGTATCCCACCGGCAACCGGCTAATTTTAAAGAAACTGCCCGGCGGCCGGCCGGTGATCGGCGGGGCACCAAAATACGCTCGGTGCCCAACAGGTCAGCGCCCGGGCACCGACCTAATCCAGCGTTCGCCGTCGAGCGATCTAGGTAAAAAATCAAAGCCGCTCGGTCAAAGCCAGCCGACCGATTTGGAACTCGCCGCCCAGTGACCAACTGATCTCCCAACGGCGACTGGGCGGCGACTGGGCGGCGACCGCTTGGCAGGCTTTCACCTAGCGGCTTCGATTTTTGACCTATATCGCTCGCTGGCGAACGCTCGATCAGGTCTGTGCCCGGGCGGCGTCCACCAGGGCACCAAGGTTATTTTTTTGGCGGCGAGTGAAAAATGAGCAAGCGCCGCCCGAATTTTAACTTCAGCGGCGATCGAGCAATGCCCTAAAAAAACCGGGCGAAATCGGCTTAAAACTCGCCGCCCGGCCGCCGAGCAGGCTACTTTTTGGTGTTGTGATATTAACTTAAAGCTATGGTCAAAACTCGGAGCGGTGACCGACCGATTTGTAGCCTGCTCGGTCGCCGCTGGAATTTAGGCATCCCCCAACGATTTAGGGAGTCGAGCAGGCTGTAGAGCCCCAGCGATGCCCTGTCAATTTCCCGTCGGTCGCCGGTCGATTTTAGGTAACTAAATCGGCGAATTCGGGGTGCTTATCCGCGCGGCGTACCGGCAGTGACCGACTGATGACCCACTGATTCCCGGGCGTTCTCCCACCGGCCACCAGTTGATGTTAACGAAATTGCCCGTCGGCCGGTCGGCCGGTTATTGGCGGGGCACCATAGCAGCTTCCATTTTTTACCTAAATCGCTCGACGTCGAACGCTCGATTAGGTCGGAGCCCGGGCGGCGACCGCCTGGGCAACGAGCGTATTTTGGGCGGCGAGTGAAAAGTGAGCATGCGCCTCCGAATTTTACCACCGCGCTAAAACTTCAGCGGCGACCGACCGAAGCCCTCAAATCAAGCGGTGCCCGGTCGAAATTGGCTTAAAATTCGCCGCCCGGCCGCCGAGCAGGCTTCTTTTTGAGGTTGTGATCATAGCTTTAGAAAAGAAGAAAAAAAGTTCAAGAATAAATATCTTTATTTTAAAGGTCAATTTTTTTAAAGATGTATTTATTAGCAATTACATACAATAACAAAATCAAATCTTACAGCAACCAATGATTTGAAGAAAAAAAATTAATTTCACCTACATATCCAAATTTCTTATTACTTACACTTTTCAAATAATATTTCACTATATACTTAAATTCAAACCATAAAGAATTTGCGTTGTATTTTTTACCTTTGAATAAACACTTTATATATTTTCGATATACTGCATACTGTGCTATATTGCAAATAAGTTTTAACATTTCATTAGTATCGTTCACTGTATAGCCTATTACTAGAAGTTCTTTACTTATATATATACATTTATCTTGAAAAGGGTGATATAATTTTCCAAAATGTTCTAACGAAATTACAGTGTATTAGAAATGAAAAGTTGCTTCAACTTCCTCACACTGTCTACACTTGCTGCCGTTAAGAACACGCCATATTTGAAAATTTCTTCTGAAGGTAAAATATTGTTCAGAAATTTCAAATTGAATTGCTTATAATCATGCTATCTCTAATTTTACATTTTGAACTATAAAAACTTGTTCCAATTGAAATAGTCTGGTAATGACAAAACATTCGACCAGATATAAATAGTTGACGGTTCTTGAGAAACCCTTGCACTTAATTTTAAATAAACTCTTTTTAAAGTTATAGAACCAAGAGTCATATCTTTTGCTATTTCGATTTATTTGATTTTTTATTTATTTATTTCTGTTTAACTTTCTTTTTCTTTTGCACTTTCACAAATATATATCGAACAAAACATTGCAAATGTTACACATGACAAAAGAATATATATAGAATAAAGTAAGGCGGACTGTAACTAATTGAAAACATTAAACGGAGGGTTGACAAAGTAAGCCAAGCTTGTTAGCATGAATACCCTCAATAGATACATAATAATACAAATATGGAGGGGAAAATATTGGTAAAAGGGGAAAGAGAGAGAGAGAGAAAAAAAAGAAAAAAAAAAGAAAGAGGTGGTGTACATCAAGATTCACAGATGTATGTGGTAGTTGGATTTCAATTTGATATAGGCCTATGTAGATAAAAATTTTAAAAAAGAAGATGCACATTTGAATATTGGGGCCAACTTGGGATATATTATAGAATGAGAAGACTCGCGAGGTTTCTGGACAATATGAATAAGAATGTGAGATCAGCGAGCTGGTTTATAAAGACTGTAAACCTAGGCCTGCAAGTCGGAGCCTTGAGATGTTTGTATACAAGACAGTGTTTAGTCAGTTTCCCAAGTAGGCCACTCTTTATAACCTTTCATGACCTGGTATGAATTAACGTATGAATAATCAACGTTTCAATAAATGGAAGCAAAAAAGTAAGAGTACTGAAAATTATCGACTTTTGTAACGATGGGTATACGAGGGGAACTTATGAAGATTAAAGGTATTTTCTTAAAGCAAATTTTGATTGTGGATTTAAAGATAATGCGCAATAAGAGACGTTTTCACCGCTCTTTTAATAGATAGCATTGTATAATAATCGATTTTTATTTCAGGGGGTAGTGCATTCCAGGTATCAGGGCCAGAATGTTATTGAGTTTTGAGCTGAGGCTGTTTTGGCGTTAAATAGGTGATAGTCATTAGAATGCCTTGTTGGGTAGGAATGAAAATTAGCATTCTGTTGGAATAATATGACTAGTTATGGGGGAGAATGCCGTTATCATGGCAAATAAAGGGTCAGTGCGGTCGCGATAACCTGCATCGGTACAAAGTCGAATTGCTTTTTTTCTGTAACATTAATATACGATTAGTATTATACTTATGAGTAGCCCATATGATATTGTAGTAAGAAATAAATGGTAAAACCAGTGAATTATATAGCATACTTAGCACATGTGTTGGCAACAAGTATTTTAGCTTAAATAGTATACCAATATTGCGAGAAATGGGGGTAGAAATACAGTTCACATGATCATTTCAGTTACATCTTTCATTTATATATACACTTAAGAATTTTGTTGATGACTTTTTTTCTATTAGAACATTTTCAACAAGCAGCTCAAAATTATGAACATTATGATTTCTTGAGTTTCTAAAGTGAATAAATTTTGTCTTCTTTAGGCTTAATGATAATATGTTGCTTTTGAACCATTTCAATATTACTTAGGTAGTTCAATGTTCATGGTTGCGATCAGCGGATTTAAATCAGAATGTGAATAGGATACATTCGTATCATCGGCAAACAATACATTAGAGATTTCATTGACATATATCAAAATAATAGTGGCCCAAGTATGGAACCTTGCGGAATTCCACATTTGATAGACGATAAGTTAGAAGTTACTGAATTGAATGAAGTTTATTGTTTTCTTGATGATAAGTAATTTTCGAACCAATCAAGTGCTTCACCTCGTAAACCGCAATGCTTTAATTTATACGATAATATAATATGATCAAGAGTATCAAATGCCTTGCTGAGATCCATGAAAATGCCTATGACATGTTTATGATCAGCCAAGGCATTTTATACTCTCTCAGATAGTTGGAGTAGTGCTAAATTAGTTAGATGAAACTAAACTGATCTGGGTTTAGCGTTTTTGACTTTAAAATGTATATAATCTGTTATAAACAATTCTTTCAAGGATTTTGGAAAAGCGCGGTAATATGGACATTGGTCGATAGTTCGACATAGAAGAGGGGTCATCTTGTTTATAGATTTGTATGACTTTAGCCGTCTGAAAAGGGACTGGAACAACACCAGAAGATAGCGAAAGATTGCAAATATATTTTAAGCAGATGGGTGCTAACTTCATCATGGCTATAAGAATGGCTTGATTTTAATGAGCGAACAATATTTCATTTTTCAATAAAATCTCTCAGATACAAAAAGAGCGAAGGGTAAGATGATTCTGGGAGAAATTCCTTAAAGTCATGATTATTTCTATCGATTTTGGAAGCCTGATCAGGACCTATATTTACAAAATATTCATTAAACAAATTCGCTATTTTATCTGGCTCATCTACTTTGTAACCATTTATATTAAAGGTTTGTTGAGTAAGTGTACGACTCTTCTTATTAAGCAGTTCATTTATGACATTCCATGTACATGATATATTTCCTTCAGCATTTTAAGTGTAAAAACATCATCTTAGTTTTAATTTATATTAAATGATATTTTCTCTAGATCTCATCTTATTCAAAAAGTAAACGGGAAATAATTATTTTAATTTGGCAAGTTTTACATCAAATAATAACTGAAAGGGACAAATCCAGTTGTTTAGAACACCTTGTTCCTTCCATTTACTGTCTCTAATCACATGTTTTAATCTCACTAGACCAGTTTGATTCCATTTTTTGAATATTATCCTTTGACTATTCAATTTCATATTACTATTGTTCCATATAATTTGATTTTCATTAACTGAAATAGACGAAAGACGTCATGCATGGCTAATTTTAAATGAAGCGGAGTTAAGTTTTTTTGTCAATTCTGCTTGTTGCTACGACAGACGAAAACGAACTTTTTAAGTCAAATTATGGAAATGCAAGCATCACTTTTAAAGAAACAATACTTTGTTATTCTTTGCTTATTTTTCCAGATTGAGGTGTCATATGAAAGGGCAGAAACTGAACTTTCTAGAAATGAGAACTTTTCTTCGAAAATCAGATACCGCCCGCCAAATAACTTTTGGGTTTCCTTCCTTCAAATTGCTCTGAATTACTCATGCGCGAAATATGCATCATATGATCTGCATCAAGTGAAAGAGGAGGATCTAAGATTTACAAATATGTGTCATTTATTAATTATGATAATGAATAAATTATGATAAAACATCGATAATTCTCGGTTTCGTTTTTTTCTGGGTCGCACTGTATCGAATCTTAGAGATCTGTTTCTGTTCTGTCATTAAAGAAGGGTATCATTCGACAATTTATTTAAAGGTGGACCTGTATCAAGAGTACTTTCGAAGTACGTGGAAGCCTGACCTTCAGCAACAGAATCAGTTTTAACCATCGAGATGAACGTGACGTCAGAAGGTCGCTGGGTCATACGTGCTCCACTCGACGATGCCCAAAATTCAGAACTGCGTCTACGGGCAGACGATGCACCATGCAGAAAACGCTTCTTAGTCATCTTCAATTTTTCTCTCAGCTCTGGTTGCCTGATGCCAAATAGAAGGAAGACAAAAACTCCCTGAAGGGAATTAAAGATGGTGAATAAGATGTTAAACAAGTAGCGACCGCCACCAAAAGACAGAAACCCGAAAGCCCATGTCAGACCCATCAGCGTGCCTATCGCGATGGCGTTTTGGGCGCGGCGAATGGCTTCCATGCGCGCTTTAACGATATTCTCTTTCTTTGACTCCAATGTGCTTGACTTGGAGGTTGATATCCTTCCACAGCTCAGTTTGTAGAGTACCATAGCGAAAATGATGCCATTGAATGACAGGATGAGTCCGATGGGAAGGATCAGTCCGAAGTATAACGAATATCCAGGGAGAATGAAACAGCTGGAAATAAAAACAAATTACGGATGTTAAGTCACCAGTTCGAATTCATTCTCCGTCATAAAGTAGATGCCTTTTGCAGTAACATAATATTACCTTCTCGCACACATACACACGTGCGCACATATTACCAGGAGCGGATCTAGTTTTTTGTCATGGGGGGGGGGGGAGGGTCGACCAACAAAAATTCCCCAAATAACGCCATTTTACTTTTTTTTTTTTTTCTTTCTCATTTGGCCGCCCAAGGGGGGGGGGGAGTTAAGTTAAACCGCCGAAATATCCCCCCCCCCCTAGATCCGCCCCTGATTACACGGACACCCACACACATTGCGTAATTTCCATCTGGTTAAACCGTTGGAATTCGACAGGAACATTAATCAGAAACACATTTAATATGAAATATTTTTTAATACAAAATAGCATTAGTAACTCTCGTGGGATTTTTTTTTTAAATTTTATAAACAAATATGCAATTATATATGCAAATTTTCAATAATTGCTTACTATTCATAATTTTGGTAAGCTGTCCACTTGCTGGCAACTGCTATTATGACGACGACCAATGGAATGCCTGTATAAAAATGTAATAGACAGCATAGATGAAAAGAATAGCACATTAAAAGGGGGGATAAGCACAACATTAAAACATGTTAAATGTTAACAGGGTGGGAGAAAACCAGAATGATAGCCTTTAGTTTCAATATTTTTTTAATGATTTTACGTTCAGATGCAACAAATAAAAATGAATAACAAAGCTGTAGCAGTGTTATTAAGTGGCCAGAATTCCCTCCCAAAACTGGGGAACCAGATTTATGATATAGATGAATAACCCCTCCCCCTTTTACTTTGTCTACTAATGATCATCAACAGATTAAACCCTTGTCTATTCAATGAAACCATAGAAAATATAGGAATATCCCGGTGTTCCCCGACCTTTTTGTACATATGACAGCTAGAGACAGAAGAGAATGGAAATGTTATGAGGAAGGCTTCGTCCAACGTCTAGGTGAACTATAGCCTAAAAGATAGATAGATAAAGGTAGGCTGTTGCGGCCTCGTGAGGAATGACATTCATTTCACGGTGTCAACCATCTGTAACATCAATTCTTGTAAATATTAACGTAACAGGTTACTACAGAGAATGTAAAGATGAGGGAACAAAATAGTTTAATAGCAGTTATGACGATCATTGGAAATGAGAAACAGAGAGTTCACTTTTAGAGGCTTTTATTCTGAGATTTATAAATAATAATCGATAGGCGATTTGTTCACGAAATAGTTTTATATAAAAATTTATGATAATTCTTGTACTTTTAAATCCAACAACTTACCCCAACCAATCATAGCGCATTTTAGTAGAAACTTCGGTATGTATGAATTCAGAACCCTAACAAACATCATGTACATGTTGAAGGCTTCTACACCCATCCAAGCAAGCGATGCAAGGCAGAAGTAATGCAATAGTATAGCAACCACAGTACAGCTGATCCTCCAAGTTGGTCGGTCAATACCGATGACGAAAGTGACGTACAGGGCTAGTAGCGCGAAACTGAGATTAATAAGTATCTTCTGTGGCTGTTTCCTGCGCAGTTTCCTGTGAAGTAAAGATGATACCAATGTTGATGAAGAATATTTTTGACAAGATGTAACCTTTTGAAAGTGATAATATAGTTTATTTTCAATAAAACTTGCGTTTGCAGATTTTATGTGTATTTTGCAACTGTTTCACACTTTCTAGATATAAATTATTAATTCCTTGAGAGTTGTATTTTCCCCAACTATTTATTAAGAAGATCTTTGTCTCAACGTTTCAACATCGATCAACTGCGGCTTCTTCGTTATCATCTTTCTAATTTTACAGAAAAATCGAATACGACATCTTCTGGAAATTCTGTCAGTAATTTAGAAGCATCAAAATACAACGATTATTTTAAGATTAAACATGGTACCAAATATTCTCTGTTTGTGATCTTTAGATATCTCTTTATATTTATATTTCTGTTCCTCTAATATCCCCTATGTTTAGAAAATGCATTGTACTGTTTGATGAGGGTAGGGAGTTTGGAATCTTACCTAAAACCTAGCAGAACGCAGAGGGTTATGACGAGACAAACGATCGAAGCTATACAACCGATGCGACTGATTACATCAAGAGCTTTAGATATGATACTTCCTTTGATATCCTATGAAGAATATACATAATAAATACATATGGTATAAGTCTAATCTAGAAACGGACTCAATTCTACCGGCCCAGAATGTTTTTCCCAATAACATAGAAAAGGTATATATATAAATTGTAACTTGTAGACCGTTAAAACGAGAGGATGAAACTATTCGATTATCTTTTAGTATAAAAGGAGCTTTCGCAATAGATCGCTTTTCATTTTCTAGATTCGATGGTTCACCCAAACCGTTAAATTCATGGCCACATTTCCCACTGGCCATGTTAAAATGAATAACTGCAATACCTGGGTGGTTTTTACTATATATGTATATATATATATATATATATATATATCATGTAATAGATATGTTGAAATAGATTATCGATATAGGGAACGCTGCTGATTTCCGAGACTTTTACCATGCTATTTGGAATTAGAATTATTGATGCAGCGTATGCATACCAGCAGAACGGCGAAACTCGTGAGATGAGAGCACCGGCAAGACACCATCCCTTCAAGAGCCATTTTCTCGGTTCTACACCCTTCGTCCGACCATTCTCCTAAGTCGATGTCCCAATACACACAACGTTGAGACACCTCAGCATCATTTTCTTCTCTAATCAATGTCTGAGTTAAAGGTTGATATTTAACCAAAAAAAAAGATTAATTTTTTGCAAAGAATTTTCTAGGAAGGATTTTGCTTTTGTTAGGTATTATCTTATTATTTCATTTATTCAGTTTGCAATGAGAGAAACTTATAAAAGATTGGCATGGAGATTGAATATTTTGACCTCTGAAGTGCATTAATCTGTCTTCTCTTAATATTGTTTGTAGATTCCAACCTTTAACCTTCTGTATTTCAAAATTCGAAATGTATAATGATTACATGATTATTTGTGTTCATCTTGTATATTGCCTTCTTTAGGAATGTATGTCGTGACACCATAGGCCTACCTGATTCACAGGAAACACAAAGACAATTGATTCATTATCAGGGAGGTCTTTGATATCAATTCCCTCAATGGTCACAGTTAAGATAGGAGAAGCGACAACCGACACCGTCTTCGGTTGCTGATTCTGCTCGTCTCCAGACGATGGAGTACTGGATGAGGACGGCCTGTCACCCTGAAACAGCTTGGGCGAGTTTAGTAGAAACACGCTGACGGATATTACCTGGTTAGTACCTGAAATGATTAACAGAAAATCATGTTATTTTAAGATACATGATATAAGTTAATATGGGGCCGTTAGTCTTAGACCGACTTGTCACTCGTGATTATCTTATAAATATAATTTTCACACTTTGGGCTCGAAATTTTGTTTCATCGGTACCTGCATTACCCTGCATTCCCTTTGCAGCATTAGTTCTTATAATAAATTATTTTGCATGTTTGCATTGGTCCAAATTTATTTTACAATTGCAATTTAACATTACTGTATTTTATACATAAAAGTCAATAGTTAGAAGAGGGGAACCTACCAGATACAGAAGGGAGAATTGCTTCCGGTAGAGATACTGACGTTACACCTGCCGCGTTAGACGGAGATCCTTCATTGGCTGAAAAGTCTATGTCGTCATCCATGGCTCCTCCTATCGCCGTCGTGAGGGGAAATTTTCTCCTGTCTACTTTGACAGCTGCCAGTACAATATTTGATCCACTACACAGAAATAAAATTAAAAATGATGTTCATATTGCTCCGATTGTCTCATTTTCGCTCGCGTGAACATTGCCAGCACAAAACACTGACCTCTACCTCCTGGACGGATCATCGCCCATTCCCATTCACTATACGTTACGTACTAAAAGGCTGTATTGTCTGACCGTTCATGAATATTCATGTTTTTGCTAAACTCGGCAAAATGTTTGCTTTTACTAAATGGAAAAATTACGGTGGGGGGGGGGGTTGGATGAAATGGACAGAATGAACATAGCAGAAGTGATAATTGATAATTCATGCTTCTTATCCTTCGTGTGCTTGACCTATAATCTTACAATCACTTGGCAGACTGAGTCCAAAGTTCGACTTGTTTCACATATGTATTATAGGCAATGGCGAGCTTGCAACCTATTTTGAAAAATTACGGTGGGTGAACTTTCAAAAGTCAATGAGACATGAGGGCTCCAATGAAAGAGCTAGTGATAACGTACTTTGGGGTGGATGTGCTTTTCGTTTAAACAAAAAATGAATTTTTAACGATTTAAAAACAAAAACGTCCATAGGCTAACATGTACTCTGACAATAGGGGGCGTTGTGAAATGAGACTAAACGGAGCTATATGCATGTAGATACTTTTGTCTAAAGAACAATAACAGAAGATTGTTACAAGTCGTATAATAAAGAGGATTCTCCGCACGTAAGGCTATGGTCACATTACCCAAAAGTAGCCTGCTCGGCGGCCGAGCGGCAAGTTTTTAACCAATTCTGCCCGGCGGCTGACCGGCCACCGAGCGGCAGCCGCCCAGGCACCGCTCGTTTTTAGGGCATCGCTCGGTCGCCGCTGAAGTTTTAGCGCGGAATTAAAATTTGGGCGGCGCCTGCTCACTTTTCGCTCGCCGCCAAAAATACACTCCGTGCCTGGGCGGTCGCCGCCCGGGCACCGACCTAATTGCTGGGCGATGCCTAAATTCCAGCAGCGACCAAGCAGGCTACTGATCGGTCGGTCGCTGCTCTGATTTGTGACCATAGCTTAAGTCAAGATCACAATTTGTTAATAGTCTTTGGAAAAAATGAATTTCACCTGACCCTTATAAAAAGGGCCATTGTTGTATTAAAGATGTCAGGATAACGGACTTTCCCCCAAACGCCAATAGCAATATCGTTCTAGTGCACGAGCAAGACACAAGCACCCGTTTCCATCGCCAATGATTTAAAATTGCCTTTAGAATCATCAGTGTCATCAAATATAGTAAGAACGTTGATACTCTTAAGACGAAGTAAAACGTTACAAATGTCCCAAATATATTGGTATTTGAGATGGGGGCACCTAAAGGATTCGAAAGTATTGTGCCCATGACTTTTAGAACTAATAATGGCACTATGGTTAATACAAACCTGTAGGTGAAGTTGTTGCTGGATGCCTTTTGAATGTTTTCAGTAAGTGTGGAGATTGTAGTCAATATGTTCTTTGTCTTTGAGACCTGCTGGGAGCTCGCTGTCTCGAAAGTACTCTCTGGGATGTTCAAGATATTATCCACCGCTCCTATCACACTCACAGACACCTTTATTAATGATATTTTGTAGACATCGATTAAAATGACACTCTCATTTTTTAACATTTCTTACATTCATAACCACGCTACCACGGATGACTGAGCAACGGCCTTGTCTAAATTGTCAAAATCTTTTCGTACCAAGTTTGGGCTTAAGCAATAAAATAGGGTCAAAATCCATTATGCATTTATTTCAGTCTGATAACAATTACATACCTTATTGACATTGGTTTAGTGGATATGAATAGAGAAGTGTGTAATGTCAAATCAATCTCTAATAAAGACTTATTGTAAAATTTTCTTTGTTATGATGACGCAACTGAGCTTCATTCGCAACCCTTGAAGTGAGCCATTTTACAGAGTCATTCAAAATGGACAAAGTATATTTGGGATGATACCTTTTTAATCAAAGTCCACAACCAATTTCTTCTTTTCTTTCTTTTCTTCTTTGCATTTACTAACATCTTTGAAGTGAGGAAACTTTTGTGATTTAAGTGCTGTTCGAGACAAATACAATATGCATGATAAATTGAGCAAAGAGATTGTCGATATCAGAAAACAAGAAATTAGTATATCTAGGCTATTTACGAACGATCTATTGTTATCCTACGGGTTGAAACCATGTCCTTTGAAAGCTTGCGTAAAGTGTAACAGTTTAGACACTTCGGCCCGAATTCACAAAGCAAGGTTTGAGCTCAAACCTCCTTTTGTTTCGTCAACCTCCTTTTGTTTCGCCAAACCTCCTTTTGTTCTTTACAAACCAGGTTTGTAAAAAACGCGTAAAACGCGTCATATGACGTGCGAAAACCAAGGTTTGTCGACAAACCTCCTTTGTGAATTCGGGCCTTAAACGCTGAAGCACGAAGCAGAATCTAAATTTTGATATGATTTAAGACATGCGTAAGGCTTGACCAGCATTCATTCCATCATCCCAAACTTGGTACAAGGAGATTTTGACGACACTTGTTAAAGACCCTGGTGTTCAGTCAAACGTGGCAGAAAAATATGAATAGGGTATCAATAAGCAAAAACAAAAATTGTCTTTACCAGATTTCATGGTCACATTGAAATTATAAGCTACCAAAGTTGAGTATACTGTTCAATACGCACTGCAGAATAAACCCGGCGTAGGCCCCCATCCCCTCCCCCATCGCTCACCGCTAAACAAAAATTGATACGACATGTGGTGTCTCAAAGTCAGGCAGTCCTGCCAAAGTACATTCCATTTTCCCCTCTAGAGAACATTCCACCTGTCCGTTTTTCTTTTAATTTACAGATACTCACTGTTAAAAAGGTTATATACCTGTACGATGGCTTCTTCCGTCAGGTTTTGGTTTGACGCAAATTCAACAATTGAACTTAGTTTGTCTGCGACAGACTGAAGATCTTCCACATCAAATTTGTTTGAATCCTCAGTCACGTCCGCCAGTTCAACTGACACGATGTCTAAATTGTCTACCGTGATAGTCTCCTGAAGATAAAATAAAATATCGAAAGGTTGACATCTAATTAGATCATCTTAGATCATCATGACAAAGGGCGGATGGTACGTAACATACATCACTTCATTGAATTAGATCATTAACAATATCTCTTACACTTAATTTGCTCTACAGATTTACAGCGTTTAAAGCCAGGCCCGTAGCCAGCTAGTTTGATGTTTAGGGGGGGGGGGGGGAGACATACATGTAATCGATCGAGGTTTAAAAAAGGGGTTCTAAAAAATTTCAACCGATCCCCCCCCCCCTCCCCCCCCCCCCCCCCCCCCCCGTGGCTACGTGCCTGTTTAAAGCACATTGATGTTATCATGGTCAACGATGACAACTAGAAGGAATGCGTTTAAATAAAAAGGGAAAATGAATATAATTCATCAGTGGTAAAGGAAATAATCTTTGGGGGAAGATAAAGTTAAGAGCAAAGTTTTTTCAATGAAAACTATTTATTCAGGGTATAGCCAGGACATAAGTTGTAGACTATCGTAAATGGTATAATAGCAATCAAAAGGATCGATGTGGTAAAGAGTACCATCGTTAGTGTTTACATAGCGAACCTTGTGGTTGTTGATTGGTGGAAGTTTTAATATATAAATTATGAAATTACATTGCCTGGTCCTAAAATGCATAAGTTCCAGATTTTTTTCTCATAGTAGATTTAACAACAACTTACATCATGTATCTACTTACATTTAATATTTCTTCTATAGCTCCTTTGATTGGTGACAGGGTCGTAGCTGTATAGTGGGTAATCGATCATAAATATTAATAAACATGAAATGCACATATCAAAAGCGTGTCCAGGGGAAGACAAAAATTCAGTCGATTATAGGCCTACCATAATTATGTTATTTGGCCACTGTAAATCTTGATATGCGTGTTCCACAAAGTATAATAATTTCATGACGACATGCCAAAGGCAGTGAACTGCCGTCGACTCCTGAATTCCACAGTTGTGAAAACTATAATGAAATGAAATTATTTTATTTTACTTCTCATGCAAAACATAATACAATGTATAATTTTATTACAAGAATATGCAATGAAACGACAAATAATAATAGAAAAAGCACGAGAAAAGAGGAACTAACTAGAAGCAGAGCTTGTTGAAGTGTTAGTTCCTCAGATACTGTTTTACAATAGAACATGAACAAGGTGTATGCGACTGCGTCTCTAATATGCCTCTGCAATTTATGCTTGTATAATATATATTTACAATAGTTTAGGTGACATCTGATGAATTTTGAAAAGTTATCACACTCATAAGAAAGTTTTCTGGGATTTTTAACATTCATGACCACGTGAGCTTCCACTTTGGATTTCTTACACGTGCATTCTAATAAATTCATTCTTGCATGCTCACAATTCTTCCTCATTCGTTCGAATTGCTTTTTAATGCTTTTCAAGTTATTGTTTTAACAATCTTATTTCTGGTAGTTGTTACACTTTTATGGCTCTGTAACCCATGACCTTTGGCTTGTTACATCGGAGATTAATATGTTCATCTGTGTATGCTCGTACATACTTGATCAAAGTTTGTTTAGAATCTGTTTAATACTTGTAAAGTAAACGCGGTATGCGATAGACAGAAAACACACAATTATGCCTCGTTCCATAACAATATGTGAGTAGACAAGAAGTGGCCCGCACGCAAATACTTTTCCCAAACATATTTGCCAATTACTTATATTTCATACGTACGTGTGTGCAACTTAACTGTGTGCATATCATAGATATATATACTTACTATCTCTGTGGTGAATAAACAGCTATAGACGCACGAGCCATCCGTTTTGAGTAAGTTAAGATTCACATAATTTTAAAGATAAGATATACGCAAGATAGCCAACATAGTGGAAATTGGGGTGTAGATATTTAGCTTAGACCTTTATCTAACAATGTATACTTTCTACTTCAATGGTTTTTATGATAACAGTATGCATGAGACAGCTGTGTTACCATGTTCCTGACGAAAAGCCTATATATATAATGAGACAGTCGTGTGGGCGTTTCCAAGATATATAGTCCATATATCAATATGAGATATCAATGTTGTCAATTCTCCATTACATTACAGTATAAATCAGCGATGTTGCTATTTTCATAAGATACAGCCAACATGTATTGATATTGGTACAGGAACTTGCAAAAGGCCTCTGGAAAAGACATTAAATAATTGAAATCCAATGAATATCATTATTATTATTCGTTGCATTGGAAGTAGAATATAAATAGGAGGCTTTGCCAATTTTGTTGGTCTTCTTAGCACCGTAAAACCTCATTGCCCTTGCTTTTTTTTTTATATCATCAAATATATCAAACGGTCGCACGATAACAAAAGGTCGTTTGTTGGGGAACACCTAGTAAATATTGAAGACAAAAGTAAATGAAGGGAGATATAGAGAGAAGGATAGTGTAAATGCGACAAGGCCACTAACCCGCTTTTGCATTTTATCCATACCCCTGCCCTCTTTAGCCGCCCTTACTACCACTAAAATGACTCATTTCAAGATAGTTTTCAGTGACGTTCTTTTCTTCCGGCTTCATGTTTCAAGAAGTTTGACTATATTTAATAAAGAAATAAAAAGTTTAGTTTGAAATGTTATGACAGAGATAATATACACTGGAGGACTTGGAAAGGGGTGGCGGGAGGGGTTGGCAGTATCGAGAGGGTGGCGGGGGTGGTGAGGTTAGAGGGAACGATAAGGGGGGGTAGTGTATTGGTAAATTACTTTGATTTTTATTGATATTGTATGTAAATTAATATGATTTTTGCTTTTGGACCCCATGGAAGAACAGGACCATTTTAAAAATGGTTCTGAAATGGGCTATCCAACCGTTTGTCTATACTTTACACATTTACTTACTTTCTTATTGTTTGAAATGTGTTTTATATGTATGTTTTTTTTTTAAACTTGTATGTATATATGAATTTCGGAAATAAAAACAAACAAACAAACAATGTTGATTGGTAATAAAGTGTAAATATATCTTTTGTTTTTGGAGTTTAAAAGGTATGTCTACACAAGCTTTCAAAACTTATTTAAATCTCCCATGTTATTCATAATTTGTTTTTAGTCTACCTGTAGCGGTAAACTTTCATCTCCTCATCAAGCCCCTGAAAGACCTTTAAGAAGGGTCGATTCACCGCACCAAGTACCAATGTACCAAACTTACAAGGAGAATGGCTGAATAAAGAGTCGTATCAATTCCTTTTGACCGAGTTTAGTCTGTGGGGTAGATGAAGTGAGACTCATCTGACTTCTGGTCTTTATTCGGAAATTTTGAGGGCTAAACCGGACAGAAACATGTAAACTGACAACCATTTCTTTTGTTTGGTAATGGAAGGTCTCCATGACAGGTTCATGGACAGTTTGAGAATATCACCCTCAAACCCAACGCACTCTTCGCATTCTCACATCCCACATACGAATTCCATTAAATAATATACAATACAGCTAGATACGAGTACTCACTGTGGGTAGAGGCTGAATTCGAGGTCTGGCTAACCGTTGTCGGGTTTGAGGTGGTCGTCTGTCTTACCGTAGTCGGGTCTGAGGTGGTCGTCTGTCTTACCGTTGTCGGGTTTGAGGTGGTCGTCTCTTTTACCGTAGTCGGGTTTGAGGTGGTCGTCTGTCTTACCGTTGTCGGGTTTGAGGTGGTTGTCTGTCTAACCGTTGTCAGCTTTGAGGTGGTCGTCTCTCTAACCGTGGTTGGGTTCAAGGTGGTCGTCTGTCTAACCGTGGTCGGTTTTGAGGTGGTCGTTTGTCTAAATGTTGTCGGGTTTGAGGTGGTTGTCTCTCTAACTGTAGTCGGGTTCGCGGCGGTCGTCTCTCTAACCGTGGTCGGGTTTGCGGCGGTCGTTTGTCTAAATGTTGTCGGGTGTGAGGTGGTCGTCTGTCTAACCTTTGTCAGCTTTGAGGTGGTCGTCTCTCTAACCGTGGTGGGGTTTGAGGTGGTCGTCTCTCTAACCGTGGTGGGGTTTGAGGTGGTCGTCTCTCTAACCGTTGTCGGGTTTAAGGTGGTCGTCTCTTTAACCGTTGTTGGGTTCAAGGTGGTCGTCTGTCTAACCGTGGTCGGTTTTGAGGTGGTCGTTTGTCTAAATGTTGTCGGGTTTGAGGTGGTTGTCTCTCTAACCGTAGTCGGGTTCGCGGCGGTCGTCTCTCTAACCATGGTCGGGTTCGCGGCGGTCGTTTGTCTAAATGTTGTCAGGTGTGAGGTGGTCGTCTGTCTAACCTTTGTCAGCTTTGAGGTGGTCGTCTCTCTAACCGTGGTGGGGTTTGAGGTGGTCGTCTCTCTGACCGTGGTGGGGTTTGAGGTGGTCGTCTCTCTAACCGTTGTCGGGTTTAAGGTGGTCGTCTCTCTAACCGTGGTTGGGTTCAAGGTGGTCGTCTGTCTAACCGTGGTCGGTTTTGAGGTGGTCCTGTGTGTAACCGTTGTTGGGTTTTGAGTCGTTGAAGACCTACGTGACACTGTACTTGCAGTCATCGTTTGAGTAGATATTTTCTGCAGTGGTTCCCTAGTTGTTGTTTCGTAAATGGAGGACGAAGAGTAATCGCTGAAAGAGTCCTCTAAAACAAAGAAAATACTAAAGGTGAAAAGGCAAGTCAAATTATCATAACAACCGTTCCAGAGAGAAAAAATCAAATACTCTAATAAAATTTCAAGTACAATATTATTTCGGGTTGGAATATTTCAGGTTAAAGCATATTGATCTATCCTTTCACTTTTACAAACGTGGACTTTCTATGACATCAAAAACTTTATCCTAGTTCTTATTTATAATTAGTACCGGAGTGTTAGCTCAGTCAGTAGAGCGTCCGCCGCACAACCTGGAGGTCGTGGGTTCGAACCCCGGCCGCGTCATACCAAAAGACGTTAAAAGATGGGAGTTGTTGCTACCTTGTTAGGCGTTCAACAGTAAGGGATAGAGCAACGTCGATCTGGCGCTGCTCAGTGGCTGCCGGGCTCACGATCAATTGGGCAAAAAGAATTTCCGTTTCGATTTAATAAAATTTGGAGTGGACTATTAGGCTATTATTATATTATTATTATTAAGAATAATAATAATAATAATAATAATAATAATAATAATAATAATAGTGTCGTAGTCGAGCCGTTTTAGCACTTTAATTGAAATTCAAAGGTCGTGGTTCGATCCCCGATACGGCACTAATGTCATTTGGCAAGGGATTAATCTTCATTTGCCACACTCCACCCTGATGAGGTAAACGGGTACCTGGTAGGAATTAGTTCCTTGAAATGCTGGAGCGCTGTAATGGTAGCTAGGCTAAAGCCGGGGTAATAATTAATGCGCCTCGGAATAGCATTTCTAGATAAACATCGCCATAGGTATGCCTATAATTATTATTATTATTGTTCTAGTATAGCTCATGTCTGTCAAACTTGACACCCCTGGGACTCTACAATTAATAACCCGGCTTTAGCATGGCTGCCATTATGACTCATTTCAAGGAATTAATTCCTGCCAGGTACCCATTTACCTAACCTGGGCCAAGTGTTAAAAATGTGGAATTTTTGTTTTAAGTCCAGTGATTTAACCACTCGAACCCGATACCTGTACTGTAATCAGGCCATGACATTCTCAATTATTCAGTTGAACTGAAATTGACCAAAATTTTAATGACAGTCTTCATCTTAATACTCACCAAATGATCCTGCACAAAGATTTAGGGGGTCTGTTTGAATGAGAAGGTATCAAAAGAAATATCCCGGATATTGAGAATAAGTAATCGTCCTTTTCAAAAATATTTTATAACAGGAATGCTACTGAGCCTTTATATTAGAACATAATGTATATATCATCAACAATGTAATGCAATGATTAGTAATTTAAAAACAATAATGATATTATGTGTACCACCTGCATCTGACACATCAGGTGTTCTTATCTCTTTCTACAAAGTGCCATGCATATCTCACTTTGATTCCGTTTGGCGGTGCACTGCTCGAAGTATTTACAGTAAAAAGTAATATAATATATTATTTTGAAATAGATGTTATGCGATGATTGATCAAATTCCGTTTGAATAGCGTTTTAAGACATAACACATGGTCTCATAGAGCTTCACCATTTAATAAAAATATCATCTCGTCCCCAAAACCATTCCAGCCCCTCCCCCCCCCCCCCCCCCCCTTGTAAAAAAAGTGATCCCCTAAAAAGAAGAATATCTCACCGCTGCATTTGACTGCTGCGTATTTATTGCAAGTTGCGTTTGGTTCTTGCATGCAATATCGGATATCTGTCTCATTTCCGCCACACCAGGGGTTCTTCAACGTAGCGCTATTCGAAGACACTACAGATGGTAGGACGTACCAGTCTAAGAGTTCCACCAATTGTAACCCGAGCATTTGGCAAACAATGGTTGCGTCCGCTACCGTGAAGATATCATCACATACAGGTCCCCAGGAACCGTGCTGATAAACCTCGACTCTACCTTCTGATTCACAGGTCCCTACGAGCCGTACTGAAGACGAATCACAAGGATATTGGGGATGTTCTCATATAGCACAATAAAATTAGTACACAGTGTGTTTCTTGAAAGAGAGGAAATCAACGTTTGACCAACAATATCTCTTTAAATGAAAATAAATAGTTCCATTATTTTCGTTATTTCAAATGATATTACAATATTGATAAAGTTTTGGATCATCGAACTAGAACAGCATTTAAAAGCAACGATTTAGAAATTAAATTTTGGAACAAGAGAGTGATCGATATTTGTCAGCACAATGAGGGCCAATTATTAAGCCCTTAAATGCTCTAATTTAGTTTTTTAGTCACATAACCCCCCCCCCCCCCCCCCCCACTCCGTGAATGGAGGGATACCATGCGTGTTACCAAAATGTCCGGTAAAGGGGTACTGTTCACGCACCAAAGTCCGGCTGGTAGTACACAAAAATCCGGCCCGTATTGACTTTACGCACGGGACTTAGGGGGTGTTTTCGAAAGGAGGAAACGTGCGTGGGGAGAGGGAGGGGCGGGATTGCCCTGTTCATCATAAAATATTTACTTTGGTTGCATGTACACGTGCAATTACTGACCTTTATTACATGTTTTGTCACGATGAGTGCATGAACGCATTCGGCCATTCACAAGGACAGTTACACTACTGTTTATATTATTGCACACGAAGAACAATATTTAGCAGATAAAAATTTAATTAAAGAAAAAATATAATACTGACATTCGTATTTATTCTCAATATTTTCTTCTTCCTATTAAAACTCTAGAGCCATATGTAAGCCTGTGCATGGATTATACTCTACCTGCGTTTTGACAACGGAGTAGTGCTACTTTGTCGATACCACAAGCAATGTTATGTCCAGCATCGTACATGCATTCTTCAATGCTGGCCTCATTACCGACACAAGTCAGACCGCCAATCGTAATAGGAGTACTGTCACTTGTTGGCACTCCTATTGAGGAGCGTCTTGACATCCCTGGATATCCGAGCATTCTGCAAATAACCTGGCCGTCTTGGTCATCCCAGTCCTGGGCACAAACTAAACCCCAACCGGTCTTGTTGGTGTACATCTCTACATGTCCATATTGACGAAGAGAATAGCCGGACAACCGTACTATACACATGGGATGAACATCATATTAGAGAATTTAAGAATACCTTGTTAATATTATATGGGGTGCCTAAAAATAATGCAATGATATTCTGATTGGCAAGATCTAAGAAAGTCCTCACCAGTCCTCAATGACATCCGGTATGTAATCGTATGGTAGTATCCTGTAATTTTAGAGGAAACTACAAAGATATGATCATTTTGTTTAACATAGCAATCTCCAAATGCTATAAGGAAAGCGCGTTGAATAACATCAGTGCACAATACGCATACATACTTGGTGCCTGAACATTTCGTAGCAACCTCCCAAATGGCTTATGCCGAAAGGACGGGTAGCGTCGCGTTGACTTGGACGCGACCATTCATCAAAAGCCCCCCCCCCCTCCCTGTTTGGCCGAAAGGGTGCGTTGACTAGTCTTCCACATCAGTCGTTTTTAATAGAATTTAAGGAATAGAAATGTAAGTCGTTTATTAAGTTCAAGTTTAAGTTCAGTTTATTCAAATAATCAAAAAAGAAATAGATTAAAAATCAAATAAAACTATTTTTACGTTGGGGGCTTTTCTCGAAAGGGTGCGTTGACTAGTGTTCTACATCAGTCATTTTAACAGAATTTAAGGTCTAGAAATTTTAGTCGTTTAAATTGAAATACCTAAAATAGAAACAAAAATATAATATTAAATAAAGCTTGTTTTTACGTAGTATTGCAGAACAGGCGTTTATAAGAATTAAATCATAAATTCAATAAAGTTTTTAAAATGTCAAATAAAAATAATATACTACGAATAGAATTTTGTTGTTGGTGTTAACTAGACATGCATAACAGTCTTTACAAATGAAATAACAAATAAATGAATAAATAACGGAGTAGGCCTATCGCCTTAATACACCCTTTGTTATTGGGCCGGATAAGCTGGGGGGGGGGGGCTTTCTGAATTCCATACATAGAAAGAAATGGATATTATCTTTTTGTTATTTTGATAAATAAACAACTGATATGCAAGACTAGTTAAACACCTTTATTTGACATTTTTAAATATCAAAGTAAATTATTAGATTTTGTTTCTTCTTATTTATTTATTAAATTCTTATAAACGCCTGATGTGCAAGACTACGTGCAAAACTAGTTTTTATTTAATTTCCAATCTGTTTCTATTTTGATTATTTGAGTTTAAACGACTTAAATTTCTATTCCTTAAATTCTATTAAAACGACTGATGTGGAAGACTAGTCAACGCATCCTTTCGGCCAAACCGACGGGGGGGGGGGCTTTGGACGAATGGTAGCGTCCAAGTCAACGTCACGCGACGCTCCCACCCTTTCGGCATAAGCCCTCTCAATTGAGGTCTTCCGTGTTTTTTGATAACTTAGGATTAATAATTCAGGTCATTCATTTTACACAATCATTAAGATAATTTATTTTTATGAAGGGAAATTGACTCTGTATCTAATAAACTAAACATAATATGTGAAAAACCTAAAACGTGTGTTAGGCATGTTACACTAGATTAAAATAGATTTCATAAAATCAATCTTAAGTGCTATTGAATAACTTTATTGTGTTCATCTAAAGTATTCATCGTCATAATGTTTGACAAATAAATAAGTAGAAGAAAATAATAGTTTTTTTTATTTTTAACATGGTGTTTTGAATACATATTCATGGCATTTTACAAATGATGTATCAATCGAAAAATGTGCCAGTGTGGTTTTCCCCAAGGAATTATGAGTTAGAATGACTTCACAGACAGTTTGTCGCTAAATGGAGAGGCGAAGAGTATACGGTTTGCACAATTGCACTCATAATAAAGCGTTCTCTTCATATCTCTGTAACATTTGCAAAAATGGAAATGGAAATGAGAAATTCACACCGGTGGGGCCGTTGGGAATAAGAACCCAAAAGGGTAATAACATTTCACTAAATCAAAATGATTCAAATGAAACCAAAATTAAATATATAAAGGGATTCCTTTCAACAACATAATGAGGTTAGAAAAATGATATGAAATATACCCTCGTTTGCCAGAAAAAAATTTCATCAATGCAATCACAAGTCTTCAGTTATGCAAATAGCAACATGGCCCTTCCTGCAAGTCGGCGGCAAAAGTCGATAAAAGGTGTTTTTATGTTTAATTTCTGATTTTCGGTGAACTGCTTCTCTGTACCACCTCCTCCTCCCCTCCCCTACCCCCGCCCCCGCCCCACACGTCGGAAGCTTTATGGAGCTGGTGATATAGGCCTATAGACCTATCTAATTATCCTGTTGTGGGTCATAATTTGTCCTCCTCCCCCCTCCCCCCCCCCGATCCAATCGAGTTTCGGAATTGGCTGACAAGAAGATACAAATTATAATCAGAGCCTCTGTAGCACTATGATCTCAGATCCGCTACAAATTTCTTGATCTCAATATTAGTCCACACAGGCGCGTACACAGGGGGGAGGTTTGGGGGGTTAACCCCCCCCCCCCTTTCGTAATTTTCTGTGTGTAAACCCCCCCCCCCCATAACCCCCCTAACCCCCCCCTCCCCCTTTGGATTTTTTCCCCATGACTGACCTAAAAAGGTGACCTTACCCCCCCCCCCCCCCCCAAGAGCAAAATGTCAAATTTTCAAATTTCGAGACCAAAATAAAAAAAAAAGTGTCCTCTTACCCCCCCCCCCCCCCCCACCCGCTTATTCAGCGGTCGGCTGAGTCGTTGCGAAATTTTCGGCTCGATTTATAAATGTTAAACCCCCCCCCCCCCCCCCCACCCTTGAAAAAATCCTGCGTACGCGCCTGAGTCCACATAATTTTGAAGTTCTCTTTCAATGGATGGTTGTCCACACAAAATAAGCGTAACTCACCGATATTGTTTGTGCAAACTACGCCAGCTGCCGTTGTGCATGAAGGATAATTTGTGACTGACGTGCATTCGGAAAGTGTATGCTCCCTTCCACTGCAGATGTAACCATCACGAAGGACTTGCACGGAAATAGGATCAAAAGGGATGGAGGACACAACACGTTGACTGAATGATTCAATCCCAATGAAGCCGAGCATACGACAAGCCACCTCAGCGCTCTGAAGATTCCAAGACTCACCGCATAGAAACCCACTGCTCGAACCATCGTCTTTGAGAACGAAGCCTTCGCCCGGTGCATTACCATGAAGTAACGAGATGATCGGTCCTGCTTCTAGATTTTCTATGGTTAAGATTGAAGAATTTGTTATATTCCCAAAGTTAATTCATGTTTGGAAGAAGTCACAACTATTAATCTGTGGAGTTGTAGAACTAGTCTGGAGAAAATGGATTCAGACAGATTGAGACATTTATACACTTGATAGAGGTGTCGTGGTCGAGTGGTTTCGTCGCCGGACTGACGATCACAAGGTCCGCGGTTTGAGTCCCGCCGCGGCACTACCCAGGTGATGTTAATGGGTACTGCTAGAGCTCCGTAATGGCAGCACAGCTAAAGCCGGGGTAATTAGTTTGGAAGCGCTTAGCGACTTATTTGTAATTCACACTATATAAAAGCTGAGTATTATTATTATTGATTAATGATATAACAAGCACTCTGAAATGAGAGCTTAAGTGGATAAATGTTAGGAAATGTCAAAAATGGGTAAGGACATTATTATAATTATTTTGGTCAATCTGACCCATAGCACCCTTATAACGATGGTGGAGTAGTTTTTATGTGACACCAACCTGGTACCGGTCCTTCTCCATATAGTTCCATTCGTAGCATAACCGCGGAATGATATGTGATTGGTAGCAGACGCACATACCGGCATACTTTAACCGAGGGCAATGTGTTATACACCACCGTATTAGCATCCGTATTGCCCACGAAGACCTTAAAGAAATGCAAAGAAGATACGATACTATTTCGACATATCTGATAACAAACAAATAATTCCGATTTTGTATAAATAAATCTCTACATAAAACAACAATGTACACGACGGGTCGCTGTGGAAGGGGTAAACGAGGATGTGGTATCGATTTAATCTCACGTAATGAAATAAATTGTTTACAACATACATATATACATTATAAAGATATATTCATATAGAGGGGAAAAAGAGGGTGGAGCAGAGGCAGTAAGAAAGAGAGAAGATTTGAAGTGCTGGAACAGAAATACTAAATAAAAACATAAAATCATTCTTCTGTCATTACTTCTTTTCATTAATAAGTGTATAAAACATTGACAAAATTGTCATATTTGGTTGCGATTATTCTTGCTCGTTTGTTTGATACTTTGTTTTGTTTCCTTCTTCTTAGGATACAGGATATTACCCTTTACGGTCAGAGGAAAAGACATTGACACCTACCTTATCGGCAACGGGCTGGTTGAGGGCGTCTTGTACTATATCGAACATAATACCGTCTATGCTGCATGCTACCTTAAAGCTTGTAACCCATTGGGCAACGTCCCAACGACCTTGTGTTGCGACTCCAGTGATACGATAAGTAGTGGACAGATCAACCTTGGAAAGACGAATAATTACATACACTTTTTTCAATATATCAAAATGAACTTGCAACATTAGGACAAAAACAAATAATCAATATAATTTTAATCGGCATTCTGTTTAAATTCCTATTCATTGAGGTTTTTGTCTGCCAATTAATAGGTACCGAGCGACGGGAGAAAAAGGCGGACCGATCTAAAGCCTCGGTCACAAATGCCATTACGAACTGCTACGAACGCCGTACGAACGATTTCCAGACAATGGGGATTCGGGAAGATAACGGAAAAACAGGGAGATTCGTACGAAATTATCGTTCGTACGAACCTTTGTGGCCGTAGCATTACCTGGATCCATGATGATTTAGCGCTAGTACCTCCAAACCAGGCTGAATCTATGTTCAGGCGTCCTCTCTCGGGGCCATAACCCAGATTTACATAAGATGCTGTCACGCTTGAATCTTGGATGGCTCCACTTTCCATACCCAGAGCGACACCGGGAGGAGGAACATTCTGCAACGCTCCTGTTGATAGAATTTGATATCTGATATTTGAAAACTAACCGATCTATTCCGAAGCATTGAAAACTAAACAACGGGACTACTTCACTAAATAATAATAAAAATTAATGCTAATGATATGTCCGAAATGTCAGCTGCAGAACGTATTAACATGTATGTGCACAGCGCTATACTTCAAATATATACAGATGCTTGAAGGTAACACAAAGTTTTGGGAAATTTTTGAAAATTAGGTGGATGGTAATTCTTTACAACTTTGATATATTTGGATGCTCCTGTGGATGTATTATAAGCACTAGAAAATTTAGGACCTAAAACACTTCTGCTTTCGAGAAAAATTGAATATAAAAATGTACCGTTGCTCCCGGTAAATTTTGATAAATTTTAAATGGCGCCTACTGCCGTACAATGATAGCTGCGACCATGAAAATCTTAGAATATGTAGTTGTAATAGATAATATCCAAACGGGAATAGCTAATCGGTCGATTTTAGTTAAGAAACGATGTTTTAGAGCTTAATTAATATCTTGACCTTGAGAGGGAGCTATACAACATAAAGAGTTTATTATTTACAATTTCATAAGTTTAGACTCGATTTTAACGGCGACAACGATCACTGACTATTGTAGGATCGCATATGCTTCCAATATGTTCATTTGAACCAAATTCATGACCCCATACCAAAACTTTGTATCACCTTTACTAGCTTAACTAATAACTGCGTTCATGGCCTCCTAGGGTGATGCTCAAATTAAGGTGCCTGTAAAATAGTAAATCTCACAAGCAGCGTGATAGTACCAAGTCTGATGTGTTTTATTTTCCGTATAACAAATTCAAATACATACCAAAATACAATAGACAAACATAATATGAATCAAGAATTAAAAAACGGCTGGAAAGCTCTATTTAAAGCCCCTATTAAAATGGCTCTGATCTTCCTAAAGGTTTTTTTCACTTCAGTTCAATCTTTATTTTTTCACTCTAAATAAAAGCAACTCAAATGGAATACATATAAAACTGAGCATCATTAACAAAATGATTACAGAGCAATTAATAGACAAAAAAACAATAGAAAGAGGGGGAACCTTTTAGTACGTTGACCCCAAAATTAACAATGCATACATAAATACAACAAACAAACGGACAACTTAGGTCAACAAAATGCAATATATAAAATTTCACATCATGAATACAAACATAAAGGATGGGTTTAATAACAACGTTTGAAAGAATTAAGAGATGGGCTGATTTTTAGTGCACAAGGGAGATTGTTCATAAAACTAACGAAATAAAACAATATGTCTGAAAAAAAGATATTTCATCTTCAATATATATTCCATGCTACACCAAACTTTGACCAAAGTATCTAGGTTACATCATTATGTTAAAGCCCCTGTTAAGCAAGCGCGTAGCCAGGATATTATTTTAGGGGGCGGTAGTGAGCATGCAAAGCGTGTGAAGCGCGCTCCCTAGGGTGGTGGGTGCAGGGAGGGGGAAGTTGCTTTGAAGTTATTATAAGAAAACGAAGACGATTTGTTGTACCTTTCTCGACTCTTAATCCTTGTCTCTATTCAGTTTCTTTTGACGTTTTATTAAATTATTAGAGAAAGAAGACGATTCGTTGTACCGTTCTCGACTCTGAATCCTTGTCTGTATTCAGTTTCCCCCTCCCGCGCGAAGCACGGAAGCTTTGGCGTTTCATAAATAATTAGAGTAAGAAAACGATTCGTTGTACCGGTCTCGACTCTTAATCCTTATCTGAATTCAGTTCCCGCAAATTCAGTTCCCTCGAAGCGCGGAAGCTTCGACGTTTCATTAAATTATTAGAGAAATAAGACGATTCGTTGTACCGTTCTCGACTCTTAATCCCTTTTCTTCCTACGTCCTCTTCCTTTCTTCTTCTCCTTTTTTTGTTTTTGTTTGGCCGGCGTTGTGGGGGCGACCGCCCCAACCGCCCCTGGCTACGCGCTTCCCCCCCCCCCCCTCAAAAAAAAATCCTTGCAGTAGTTTGTTTTAAATGACAACCTCTTTCACATTATAATGGCTATTTAAGTGAAATTTTGCAAAAATTAATTTGTTGGGGCTCCCAACACTTTAAAAGGGCTTGAAGGTAAGATACGAGCCTCGAACCCAAGACATATCAATAACGTCCTTTTACCCGACACTATCCTACATTTACTTACTCTACACGCAGGTGAAGCTTAAAAAGGAACCTGATAGAAAGACAATTATCTATGATGTAGCCCGTTATCGCGGCGACTCGGCTCAATTGGGGATATAACTATACATTGTATTAAAGGGATAGTTGAGTTTTTGTTTAGGACCAAAAATGCGTTCAAAGTACAAGGTTATTGCTCTTATTCTTATTTATGATATTGCTAGTGCCCTGTTAGAACCTAAAATTGCTTTGAAGTTGATTTTAGACCCCAAAATGTGTGAATTTAGATTGAAAACTATCCTTCCAATTCAGCTCCACTTTCAAAATAATACAGTGACCGTTAATTAAATAATAATAACAATACACGGGCCGGCTAGTTGTGCATATTATCACCAACACAAAAAGCCAACAAAAAGCTAATATTGGCATTGGCTGGAATACAACATACGAGGCGCTATCTCGTTTTTCAACGGCTGGTTCTAAACAACAAAATACTTGTAGGGCATCACAAATATAAGAAATGGTTATATTTATGAAGAATTCAGCCGTCTTGAACTAGATGTTAAAATTTTCACAGAGACGAACTAGCTGATCTGCCGCTTTGATCGAGATATAAGGCAGTCATGTAGAAACTCAATGAGAGATTTGGTCTTTAAAAAAAATTACGTCCTCCACTCAAATAACATGTCTATATGTATAAACTCATTTAATAATCAAGGATGCAGAAACAGTAGAAATGATTGTGCTGGCTATTGTTCGTTACAACCCTGATACCAATAAATTAATGACAGCAGTAGGCGCAGGCGAACAAACAACAAAATAACACGTCATCCATTAAGTCGGATCGTATAGAGCAGCAAGAAAAGCGATGTTGACGGTCAAGAATCGTGAGGAAAAATGTGCAGATGAGAATTGTAAGAGTAATAAAAGTATCGATGGAGAATAGTAAGAACCAAGAGGCATTCACCGAACCTTACCATGGGACCAAAAGGCTGGACTTGATGGTTAGATCTTCGACCAAGCAAAGTACAATGTTCTGACGATGGCTTAGTTTGGTCGGTGAAAAAGATAACGAGTAGTAGGAGCGAACTAGTCCTAACCAGAGGACTTGGGGTCAGTGTTTGATTAAAGCATGTGTATCCTAATATGCTTATCAACTAGGAGACCTACGCCCTTATGTCATAAATGACAGTAATGAGGATTAATGCCCCGCAAAAGGGTACTAATATAGCACATCGACGCGGTTTTGATCCTGGGGCCTCACAGTTACGAGGCCATTGCTTTGCCACTGAACCATGACTGTACGCAGCGGGGGGCTAGGGTAGGGGACAGTTCCCACAAATAATAAAGAAAAAAGAAAATGCAATAAATTATCAATAATTCATTGAATTTTACCCCGGTCCCCAACATTAAAACAATCCTCTGTACGGCCATGCATTATGGCTCAAACCACGGGCACACTTTTTGAGGTTAAATTAACATCTATGAGCCAAACTTAGGTAAACAATGGCTACAAGTGATTTCAAATTGCTAAGAATAGTATCAGCAACACAATACAAGTGAAAAAAATACATTCAGTACGAACGGCGCGCGCAAAATTTTGAAAAGCTCAAAAAGGTCTGAAACGTAGAGTAAATTGGTCCTATATGCATTTTGAACAATTTTAAATGTTGACGCACGCGTATGCTTTTGCCGTGACGCGCGCACCGACATTGTTGTGACCTAAAGTTTACCCATGACCTCAAGCTTATGCAAGCAAATTTCATTCAAAATTAACAATGAATGGATGATATATGGTCAATATTAGAAATTAACAAAATGGCGCCTAGATGACGTCACGCATCAGAAATATAACAAATCTTTTCATTAGGATCAATGATCATGCATATGCCACATGCAATTAAAGTTTCATGGTCACTTACCATGCCATTTATGAGATTATATCCACAACACAAAATGTTACAGAAAGAAATACAAAAAAAGGCTGACAATATCAATAGGTGCTTCGCCACGCTTTGCGCCAGATGACCTAACAATGGTTATTGTTACTGTTATTTGGTGATGGTTGTTATTTTACCTGACTGCTAAGAGAGCATAAATTCTTGAAAGTAAGCAACCAGACGGCTGACTGCTTGAGGTCCTCTCCGAGAGACCTGGTAATGAGGATTAAAGCCTTACCAAAGGGCACTAGCGCATCGCCTTGGTTTCGAATCCGGGTCACCGGATTACGAGACCCACTGCTCTACCGACTGAACTATCGCGCTCCTCAATTCTTAGTGCTAGTGTTTTTATTGTTGTAATCACAATGGTTGTAACATACAGATAACCAAACCATATTAACATTAACCGGTTACGAGAAGTGTACGTCATTAATATTGAAGCACACTAGAGATTATTCCTTGATGGGTTATCTGAGCCTAGGTCAATAAACGCTATAATTGAGTTGTTCTATTCTATTATACGCTTGGCATTTCTTTGAACCATTCAGGAGTTTATGAACGCAAGGCCTTTTTAAGTATTAAAACCAATGGCCAACACCATTTAGCAGACTAAATTATTATCACCAATCTGATAATCGTTTAATAAGAAACCATGTGCGTGTTGAGCAAACCTTACACACGATCCCACAGGTTGATTTCAAACAGCTACGGTACAGTTATAGGCATGTAACAGGCACAGGTTTGTGCCTTAAAAAAGTAATAACCTCATCATCGGATCAGCCAAATCAGCATATCAAGTTATGAAGAAAACAAATTGTGCATGTCGATTATTTGAATAACAATTCGAAATGTTGATTAATAAAGAGTAAATATTAGTGTTCTTATGGTCATCATCAAGTAGGCGT